CGCCTCAGCCTACACGTACTATGGAAGTACTTATCTAGAGTTTAATTGGTTTAAGGTAGACCCGAGACCCCTGCCGTGGATTGATTCAGGCTTGTCTTGTAGCTTAATCGCGACAGGGACTTGATCGTCGGATTTACGTCGACCCTCTTGATAGAGCCCACCGTCTTCTCTCCATGCTGTTGTTTTTCTTTCCTTCGCTTCTGCTGCAACCCCAGCATGCACCCTTGTGCTACATCTCCCCAACTCCCCCTGGTCTTGTATCCGTGCTCTCGAGAAAGAAACAGGATCGGCACTGCTCTGGTAAAACTTCATGCGATTGGCCCTCCATATACCGTGATCCGTTTGGCATCTCGGTTGCACCGACGGCCGATGCGCAATCTGCGCCAAACAACGTCCGTCTCATAAATCCAGGTTTCCTTGCCCTGGATGGGTGGCCTGATGGGCGGCCTTGGTGCATTCGCACGCCAGCGCCTCCTCGCCCCATCCGCTGCCCGCACGCTGTCGAGACCAATCTTCTTAGCCCATGCCCGACATATGCGCACGCCAACGTTTGTATCCGTACCTTAGCGTCGTCTTATGACAGTCTCGCCTGTGAGTCTAGGTACTCGTGCTCCATGATGTACCGCGTATGGTGCAGACGGCCGCCCAGAGGAGCAGGACGGCGACAGCCGTCCTCCACAACTAGATTTTAGAATACCGCCGGGGCTTTTGTTCATGGTCATTGCCAGCTGCAGACGGACCAGCCTGGCTTACTTGGGATCGCCCTGCTTGTCGTCACGTACCCAGACTTGAACTTGGCCCATTTCCAGTCAGCATAAGGGGACGTCTATGTAACATAGACAAACAGCCGACGAATTGTTGGCCGCAAATCCGCTGCCCAGTCTGCTTGGCCTTGCACAGGTCACTACCTACCTCACGCGCTGGTGAGGCGCTCATGATTTCTCGCACTCAGTAACCTTCTCCTTGTCTCATGTCTGTCCGCCGCTCTCATGCTGTCTCCCAGCGCACTACAGCGTACCGCTCCGCATCTTACCGCAACGTTCCGCCCCGCCCTATGCTGCTTCATACAGGGTTGTCTAGGCTACTGCGGCGGATTGTAAGCAACAGTGCGCGCCGTTGACGCCGACTTTTGTGTCATTCGATTGGGTCCTCCCATACCTAAACTTCTGGCTCGTATTTCGTGTGGGTGGCCCCGTTGCTGCAGATCCGGTTTGGATGTACCCGTCGTGGATCGAGGGTCGAAACGCTGCCGCCCACTCCCCGTATCGAAACGCGTAAGGCACTTTGGCTGGAGCTTCGTATATGCTGGCCCGTTGCTTTCTTTACCCCCAGCTTGAATGCTAGAGGTAAACGAATGGCTGACCTACAATTATTCGGTGCGAACCATGGTCCTTGTGTCGATCGCTGGTGGTTGCCTATCCTCCTTCAGTGGGGACTGCCGCTATGCAACTGCCAACGTACCTGAAGGTTAAAGCACTCTGTTGATACGCTGGTACACGCCCGTACACTATGGTGCAATCTCGCCTTGCCAACGGTGCCGATGTGTAGTCCTATTGTTCGTCAAGAGGGATTCGACGGACAAGTAAATGAATGATGTTCTAGGCCATGTCGCTCCTCAATAATATCAACATGCAATAACATAAACCGTACTGTTGAACAGGCCACCGGGATTCCCAGGCACGCAGGCATGCAAGTCATCGGCTTGTGGGCCTGCACCCGCCCATGCCGTCTCCCCTTTCCCCTTCTTTTAGAACGTTTGCTGCGTCTTAATGGATCAGCTCAAGGCTTATCCCATCCCCGGTCATGGGCTCGGGCTTTTCAGCTGACATTCGGCCACACCAACTCCGGAACCTTGATACACCCTCGTCGTCAACCAACCCATCCCCGAGGCTCGCATGAGGCTCTGCTCTTACAGCTTCGCCACAACTTGCTACTCGGCATTTTTCAATCCAAGGCATCAGCGCTTCTCGCGCGCGCCTGGACCTGAATACTTCCGAACTCCTAGTCGCATTGGGGCTCTCTCGTTAAAAAAAAGGGGGGGGAGGGAAAAAAAGGGAAAAAGTGGTTGGCTTGGCAGTTTGGGACGTCGGATGGACATCTAGTCAACCGCGACAGGCATCATGGAAATCACACCAAGATGGAATAGGTGGGTAGGGGAGAGGCATAGCGTGTCATCCCGACATCAGTCGTCGTGAAGTTGCTTTGACCCTGCGATGGAATCTTCCTATAAAGATGAGGCAACTTCCCGCTCCGGTTAACATATAGCTTTCTTGTCTTCATCAAGCAATCAGCAGTCTTTTTCCAGGTGTCCTTCTCTCCTTTCAATCTTTCTTGTATTGTATAATTTCCCCCTGCCGGTCAGGACTTACCTTCTCTCTCACAAGCAACATGTCTTACATGAAGAGTATCTTGGCCGTCGGCCTTCTGGCTACCGCCGACCTTGTTGCCGGACACGCCGCAATCGTCGGTGCCACTGGCGATGCTGGTGGCCAGGGTATGGCTATCGGCATCGACTCCAGTACTCCTCGTGATGGGACCCGCCGTAACCCCTTCCAGCAGGACAGCACCCGCTTCAAGGGCGACGCCGCTGATACCTTCGGTGAGACTGTCGGCGGAGGCACCAATAACCTCGAGACGGGTACCAAGGCCATTATGGCGGAGACCGGCCAGATGCTTCCCCAGGTCAGCGCTGGCGGCTCCATTGACATGACTCTTCACCAGGTCAACGGTGATGGCGGCGGTAAGCAGCAGAAATCCGTGACTTGGTTGCTTGATAGTCGACTGACAAATGGCCAGGCCCCTACGACTGCATGATCAATGCCGATGCCACCGGTGCCCAGTGGACTAATATCAACGTTGTCACTACCCCCCCTGGCCAGAACTCCCGCAACCGTGACGGTGCCATGACCGACTTCCCACTCAAGGCTGCTATCCCGGCTGATCAGACCTGTACCGGCACTGTCGCCGGCCAGTCTAATGTCTGCCTCGTACGCTGCCAGAATGCCGCTCGTGCTGGGCCCTTCGGTGGTGTGGTCCCCGTTCAGATGGCTGGTACTACTACACCGGCTGCCGCTCGCCGCAACTTGATGCTCGCCATGAAGAGAAGCGAGGATCTCCTTGCCAAGATGGTTAAGCGCGCTCAGTCGGCTGCCGCTGCCCCCGAAGATGATCCCGCCTACCTGGCCGAGCTTCGCGCCGACGGTGAGGAGATTTAAGGCGGCTTCCTCGGATGGAATTTGAGGTTGTCGCGGGGCTTAGTGGAAGGGAAGCTGCGGAGGCGGGAAGGATTGGCGATGGCGAAGCTGCTGATCTGAGAGTGATGTTGATGCCTATCAAACCGTGTTTGGAGGAGGCTTGACTGTGTCTAGTCGTCGACAGTACACAATTCCATTCTCTGACTGCTGTGCTTATTCTTGAAAGTTAATTGCGCATCTTGGCCATGATATGTTGTTTTCCCGAGATAGTCGGATTGTGTGGTTGGAAACTACCACGACGTTTCATACGCTCAGTCTGGACATTGATGTACAAAGGCAGTATGGGCAATTGTCCAGGCTGTCAGACAATTGCAGACAAAGTTGACGATGGTGTAGGAGGGAGATGTCCAAAGAATGCGGCATGCTTATCCTGTGGACTTAAGGGGATTGGGGGATTGGATATTGAACGTACGGATATGGGCGTGGAATCCGGAGCATGCAAGTGGAATATGCCCAATGGGAACGGTAAATGCGGCCTCAGCTATGCTTTGAACAGGCTGATCCCAATACCTGTGGCCAAGTGCGTGGTAGGGAGAGAGCAAATGATTCAGAAGCAATAGGCGATAGAGACGAAATAGTCACAGGATCATACAAAACCGAGGTACTTGACTTGGCTTGACGATCCAGGGTGACTGGTAACGCGGCTGCAGTTTACCGCAATGGTTCTGCCCGTTCGGCCCCCCAGTTCATCTCAAGTGACCTTGTGAATGACACCCTCATGATGAGTTCATCTTGACTATACAAGACCTTGGAAGCATAAAGTGGTGCGGCCGCAGACTGGTATAAGGGGCTGAGGAACTTGAGGCGATAGTAGCAGTCTCTCTTCCAGTCGAACGGATGACGCGTGACGTCAATGGCAGCCGCAGATCCTCGTCACCTTCCCCGCGAAAGTTAGATTATGTGCAGGCAAGGGCCTCCCAACACGCACATACACACTAACCCCGAATTCCACCGCCAATAAGAGAAGCATGCGATAGCGCCCTCTTACGAAATCCGGTATAGCATGTCGACAAGCTAAAGTGCCAAGACACGATGTGCCTTTCTCCAAAGAAGCAGATGTCCTGCAGAGATAGCAAAATCGATTTAGATCCCTCATGTGTGCATCGCTTTTTGCCCCTCCGTCTCGTAGTCACCCATGTAGATGTCCAGAAAGGGATTGCCCCCTGTTACGTGGGCTTGTCCACGGAAGCTGGCTCATCCAAGGGGACCCATTCCAATTGCACACATCGATCAGAGGACAATCCATGCTTCGCCCATCCGTGTGGGAGGTCATTGGCAGATACCTTCCCCATTACTCCGCACGCCATACTTTCCGGTACAAGCAGTTAGTGTCGCTGACCTCACATTGGCATAGTAGGCCAGACCAGCTCGTTGGTCCTTCTCTTGTCCAGTGGTGTTAGACTCACCAAGCAACCCTACTTCACCTTCGTTCTTCGAGCAGTGGAAGTCGGCTGGTGCGTATGGGAAGATGCTTCAACGCACTACCCCGTATTCATAAATACGGCCACCCCCTCATTCCCGCCAGTTTACCCAACTTACCTCCAAGCCAATCTACTTATTGCACCATCTGACGTATGCAACAACCATCCCTAATACTCAACCTCCGTTATTCCAAACCCCGCATAACAAACACCTAGAATACAGTCCTAGCAGTCACCAAAATCATCTCAGACGCTTTTGTTCTTCGCCTCGTATCTGCCACCGGATCCAAAGTCGAGCACTGCAACGTTCCGTGCCCATCTTACAATGTCTAGTTAGCTCCACACGATGCCGACTCGTTTAACTATAGCATGTTCTGATTCGTATCGGTACAGACGATCAAAGCCGCACCGATGCCATCCCCATCGAGACTCAAACGCCGCCGGTCGCTCTCAACGGAGAAGCCGCACCGGCGCTCTCTTCGTCGCCTGTAGATCGGAGGGCCAGCACTGATGAATGGGGTAAGTGTGCGAAGCCGCGTCCCGAGACCATCCGCAGTGCTCACCGGTAATTTGGATCAGACGCTTCGAAGGTGCCGCCGAGTCGCTTTCAAAAGCGTAAAGGCTCCATCTATGCCACCCCAGGCTCTCGCGACGGCCACGTCGACAGGAACTACGCTACAGGCTTCCATGAGAAGCACACCGAGAAGGGCTACGGCAAGACTCCTACTAAATAATTTGCCTTCGACACCCTTGAGAAGTAAATGTCTTACACCACAGCCTGTACATCAGAATCTGTCACGCTGTGTACGAATCGACAAGGAAAGAATTGAATTGGCGACATTGGATCAGAAATGATGGTTTGGGTGTGCCTGTCTGAGTCTGCCTGTATAAAAATTGCTAAACCTAGCCAACCATCGCTAGTGTGTTGCCCAACTACAAAAGGGCAACAAACTGATGTGTTACTCGTCAAAGTCGTCAATATCAATTGCGTCTGGGTTGGCAGCAACAAGTGTAGTGTCTGTTGCACTGACTTTTTGGGTGTCGCTTGCTGCCACGAACCCGGCTGGTGCTCTTGCCTGTCTCTCGAGTGCGGCCATGGCATCCGCCACTTCTGGGTCTGCCGAGTCGTCCGGCTGTCGCTGGCTACGAGCAAGCGCTTGCGATGCGATGAAGTTGACGTCGGTGTTGTACTGCGCCTGCACACTCCGCTTGATCCGAAGCATCTCTTTGAACGTATCCTCGTTGCCATGTTGCACCTCAAACGCTTCCCATTTGGCCCAAAAGTCTGGACTGGTACGTGGGTCGCAGAACTGTGAAGCGTGGCCATAAATAGCCCGCGCCCGATCAATTTCGCCAAGGCGCTTCTCCATGTCGGCAAACTTGAGACACATATCCCGTGCCTCGATATCAGGCAAAGTGGATATGGCCTTTTCGTAAATGGGTCTTGTTGACGGCAGTCCAAAGTTGGACGCCGACTTGGTAATATAGAAGTTGAACATGTCTGCCCGGTCCTCATCGGCTACCGCACGGGTGGCGCGTTCGTAGATACGCATGGCGTGTCGAGCAAGACCTCGTTCCTCTTCCAAGTTGCCGTACATAAGGTAAATTACCTTCGCAAACTTGGGTGGGCAGTCTTCGATCGCCTGTTCGAAAAGGTCGCGGAGACGTTCAATGCCAATCTTGCGATCAACGGCCTTCGTAAGGTAAAGATTCCACAGCTCGAATGCCACGGGATAGCTGAAGAGATCCAGGCCACGTTCGTAAATCTTGAATGACTCTTCGTAGTATTGATTCTCCTCGAGCAAGTTGGCGTAGTTGACCACAGTCTGTGGCGTCGCGATCCGCAACTCGAATATCCGCTCATACACCTTGCGGGTGTCTTCCAGAGAACTAACGCTTTCCACGAGGTCCACATAGAAACTCCAGAGCTTCCAACTTTTGTGCACGCGTTGCTGCGGCGATAAGGTCTCGTCAAAATAGTCGACCGTCGATCTTTTCGGCGCCTGAACTGCCTTCGCCATGATCCGGACGGCATCGTCAAAGTTCTCATTCCGCAGCTCCATTTCGGCCCATTCAATCCACATGTCTGCAAGTTCTGCTACAGACTTGAATGGTACCTTGACGGCCTTCTCCATGATAATGCGCGCATTGCGAATGTCGCCGCCCTGCTCGTAGAATTTCGCGTAGTTGGCCCACAGTTGATGGAAGGGCCCAACGGCCTTCTTCGGCTGTATCGTCGCGATGGCGGCAGTGTAGGTTTGCACAGCTTCTACCTTATTCTCACCCCATAGTGCGACCCTCTTCTCCCACTCGGCAACGTTATTGGGGTTTTGTCGCAGAACGACGTCGTTCAGGAGGAATGGTCTCCGATCCATGAGCTGCTCAAACCGCATCATGCGTACGTCGAGCTCGAAGTCCGCCTCTTCGTCCACGATGCCCTTGTCTGCACGATCAGAAGCAACTTCCATGAGTGCCCCGATAATTGACTCTTCGAACTCGGCATACGAGTCAAAGACAAGCGTGAAGTCTCTGACCGTCATAACAGTCGTGACAGCCTCTTCGAAAACGTCTCGAGCACGTTCGAAGCTACCTCGTCGAATCCAGTACGTTGCCAGCCCGCACCAGAGCTTGCCTCGTTGGTCGGCAAATCGAACGATTCCACTTCTGATGATTCTTTCCACATCAATACCTGTTTCGTGCCCGGTCTCTATTTCGGCCGCGTGCGCCACGATCATGTCCACCATCTCGCTCCACAGCTCATAATGCCCCTTGCCATGCTTGCTTGTGAAGCGCAGGTTATTGAGAACATCAATGTACTTCTTCACGGCCTCAGTGTAGAGGCCAACCTGTGTAAGAAGCTCAATAAAGTCTTCAGCGTCTTCGGGATGGATCTGCATGTAACGACGCCAAACTTTGACAGCACTGATGCCCGCAGCTGAATTCGCGAAGGGCTTGTATAAAGCCCAGATTCGATTGTGCTGAGTAATTGGCAAGGCACGGAGAGCTCGATCAAACGTTCTTCTGATAGTGGTCACCAGCGGCTGCTGAAGCAAGAACTTGAGGTAAAGCTCCCATATTCGAGGCATCTTGTTGAGAAGAATCAGCCCCCGTTCGAAAAGCGCGTTTACTTTTCGATACTCGGCAGCGAATATTGCAGCGTTCAGTTTCGAGACGTGTTTGATGCGGAAAGCGAGGTACTGTCGTGACTTTGTCAGCATGATAGGGAAGTTGAAACCTTGGGCGCACGCGGGCATACCATTTTCCACAGCTTGTACGATCGAGGGAGTTGAAGACAAGCTCTCTCAAGCACGAAGGCGCGCTCGTGAAGCGTCCCATGTTGTGTCTTGAATTGAATGTAGGCCAGCCATGGCTTCGTGCTGCCGGGATTTCGCAGAACATCCTGTTCATAGACAGAATCCTCGTCACTCTGAGCAGGCGTTAGCATTTGAATATAGGGGCGGGGGGAAGCCTCGAAGACGAGACTCCGCACGTACAACCAAGTGCAGGTCTGCGCATCTTTGGGAGCCGTTAGGTAGCACATGTGCCGGCATCTTGATGCTGTTCGCTTGCCCAATAGTCGTGGGCAATAGAGGGCTGGGGAAGCAGGAGGGAGAAACGGAACATCTGCGTCTGCAGAACGAAGAAGCGATTGACGACTGGGTTGTCGGAGTGATTTAGACAGAGGACACTATGCGGACGAGGTCTCGAGAATCATCGCGGCGCCAGCTGCCGGGTAACAGATTGGGTATCGTAACATTGACGACGAGCAAACGATGAGGAAGAACCCTTCGCGACATCAACAAGCATCGACCGGAAAAACCAGGCCCACTTCGTTGTAGTTAGTCAGCGCGTGCCGTCGGGCTGCAGGAGGTACCTCAATTCAAGGTACACTGATGCGTAAGATCCTAGCGGCACACCACTGATGGTACAACTCGAGGCCACAGAGCTCCACGGCTCGCTGCGGCCTAGGCACCTTAGAGATACCTGGCACCTGCCTGCCTGAACCCACCTACTAGCTGGCTAGTATTGCCTTCCATACCTACCATGGGTACCTGACCTAGGTGCCTACGTAAGTAAGGTAGGTATCTTATGGGCCCCGGGCATTCCTACGTACCTTGAGGTTGGTAGCTGCTGGAGCAACTACGGCATTTGAAGCACTCGATTAACGCAACGAACTTCCAATCGTCGACAGCAACGACATCCGAATTCGACGCGCATTTTTCTGCCGGGGCGTTTACCATCCACCTCCTCAGTCTTCCCTTCTTTGCACTCTCGTCGCACGCGGCTTGTTAGCCGCCTTGTCCTAAGGTCGTTGCATTCTTATCTCCGTCGATCTGGTCAACCGAAGCTCTCCTTTCTCGCAGCTCCAACCATCATGTCGGGCGCTCCTGTATGTGAAAGACTCCCGCACTGAACAGGTACATTCTTCGGGCTGCGTGGCTGACAGGGAGTCTGCTTTTGTGCAGGATCGAGAGGCCGTGTTTCCCACGCGCCAGTCTTTGGGGATCATGAAGGCCAAACTCAAAGGTGCTGAGACGGGTCACAGTCTACTGAAGAGGAAGAGCGAGGCTCTGACGAAGTATGCCTCTTTGATATCTCGGAATGACTTCTCATCACGTGGACTGATTGCTGACATTCTCTGCATCGTAGGCGATTCCGAGGTTCGCCGCTTCATCCCTTTTCTCAGTTGCGCCGGCTAACAATACCCTAAGAGATTACAAGACGTATCGACGAGGCCAAGCGAAAGATGGGTCGCGTCATGCAGATTGCTTCCTTTTCTTTAGCCGAAGTCACGTATGCTGTCGGGGGTGACATTGGCTACCAGATTCAGGAATCGGCGAGATCTGCTAGGTTCCGCCTACGCACCAAGCAGGAGAACGTGTCTGGTGTCCTGCTTCCAGCCTTCGAGAGCTATGTCACTGAAGGTAATAATGATTTTGGCCTGACGGGCCTTGGAAAGGGCGGCCAGCAAGTTCAACGTTGCCGTGAGACGTATGCTCGCGCCGTAGAGGCCTTAGTTGAGCTCGCTAGTCTACAGGTGCGCAACCTTGGAACATCCCCCTGTGTGTGTGCCTAGCAACCTAGCTGATGCCCGAAGACCGCATTTGTGATTCTGGACGAGGTGATCAAGGTTGTCAACAGACGCGGTAAGTTATCTAGGTCGATCTCGTGCCCTCTCGTGTACTGACGTTAGACAGTCAATGCCATGTAAGCGGCGCACAGCTATCTCGTGCAATCAATAGCCGTTGCTAACCATATCAGCGAGCACGTCATTATCCCTAGAACAGAGAACACCATCAAGTGTACGATCTGCCGAACTGAGTTGGTGTTGGCCACAGGCAAGCTAACTATGACTTAGATATCAACTCAGAACTGGACGAGCTGGACAGAGAGGAGTTCTACAGATTGAAAAAGGTGCGCTTCGGTATAAGATGTTCTTGATCGACATCAATTGACAGTAGAGTAGGTGGCGAACAAGAAACAACGAGACACGGCAGCCGCAGACGCAGAGATCAAGGCGAAGAAGGCAGCCATGGCAGACCAGGAGGGTGACAACAGGTCAGGACCTACCGACCTTCTCGCCGCTGACGATGACAACGATGTCATCTTTTAAACGCCAAGCATGTCTATGCCGATGGGCCACGACGATTGTATTATAGCCTATGTAGCTAGCCAATTTGGCCGTCCCTGACAAACAAGTCCCTTTCGCCCTAAGCCGAAATAGCCACTCCCACTTGAGAAAACGGAAACATGACCACATGAACTACCTTACTGTCGCTGATACGTGACCTTGATTGTGTGCGAGTCTCCCAGCACCATGCCGGCCGTGTTCTCCTTGGCCGTAATGGCACCCTGTTCCCCGTCGTACTCTACGAAGGCTATGCCACGACGACCAGGCACCAAACGAACCTCCCGGAAGCCCTCAAAACGTCCGAATATGCTGGTGACAGCCTCAATATCGTAGTCATCGGGGAGGTTCTGAACGAAGAGAATCTTGTTGGGCGGAAGGTACTCGTCTGGTACGACTGCCGTAGCAGAAGGGTTGGTGGACTTGAGGCCAGTGCCACGGGCAGCTTTGGCAGGTCGGCCTGTCATATCTGGTACGCTGCCGGCCGGCCCTGATCTCTTCAGTCGCTTCTGCTCCTCGGCGGCCTCGTAGGCCCTCTTTTTGTCTAAAATCGCAGTCATCAATTGGGTGGTCCGAGAGAAATAGACCGAGCGAAAGACAGAGACGAGACAAAATACCTTTTTCAGCCAAGCGACGACGCTTATGCAATTCAAACTCTTCCTCGTTGCCGGTAGTCTTGACTGTCGCGTCGCTCCTCGTTCGTGCCAGGGCAAGCTGCATAGGTTTGTCGAAGAGTTCAAATCCCTGGACATCGTCGATAGCCTTTTGCGCAGACTCTGGGTTATCAAACACCACGAAAGCCTGTCCTTTGGCTCTCAGATTCGATTTGGCTACGATGTCGAGGACGTTGCCGTACTCAGAAAAGATTTGGAGCAGAGCATCTTTCAGCTGGTCGATTTTGGCGCGTTCCTCGAGGTTTCGCACATATACTCTGTAGCACAAGTCAGCCAATGACCCGACGTGTCGAAGTGCAATGACACGCACGTGGTAATGGAAGCACTTGAAGCCATGCTGACAATAAGTAGCGTTGTAGGGATTCAGTGATCAAAATGATTTAACGACGAAGCTGAGGTTGAGAAGGTCCTGAATGGGAGTGAAGACGCGACACGTGACAGAATGTGACGGGAGATTTCGGTGACTCGGTGAGGCTGCTAGGTGTGTTATTGCGCGCACCCACAAACCTACCTACCTGCTGAGGTACTTTTGTTTTGTTCCCTATTCTGTGTAGTTTACTCTATCGCGTTATTCGAACCGTATGCAATGTAGCTGAGGTAGCTGAGGTCCCTAGGGTCCCTACCTTACCTAGGTAAGTACCTTAAGTAGATAAGGTAGGTAAGGTGCCTAGGTAGGTGGTGTGGAAGGTGAAGGTAAGTGGGGCACGTGCGTCGATAAGAACCTTAACTCAGACAGGTACCTCAGCCAGGTGCGAACACAACAAATGTGTCCCACATTGTTAGGCTCAAATCCGTCAAGCCACATTTTCAAGCCTCATTCCATGTCTAGCACCTCGCAGAACGTGGCCTCTCGAAGTCATCAGCTTTCGTGTCCAAACCTGTGAGAACACATCTCGCGTTAGCTACCACTTCGCCGCATCTTTCAGGGGAAAGCTCTGTCTTTGAAGCGAATCCTGTTCTGCAAGCTTGTTTCCAACTTTAACAACCCAACTTTCTTTTACGCAACCAGCAACACTCGACTTTATCGCAACAGCTGCCAAGCAAGGATGGATTACGAGGCTCTCAAGGAGCAATGGAGTGAGGTCGAGGACCGTGACGGCGTTCGTCTTAGCTGGAATGTCTTCCCCAGCTCGCGAATGGTCAGTCCAATCACCAAGTCGTCAAGCTCGCGTTAACTGACCATCATCTGCAGGAAGCATCACGCCTCGTTGTGCCCATCGGAGCCCTCTACACACCTCTCAAGGAGAAGCCCGACACCCCTCTTCTCCAATTCGAGCCTGTTACCTGCAAGCAGCCATGTCGCTCGGTTCTCAATCCCTTCTGGTAGGCTGCCGTCGCCTTCAACTCGGCTTCTTGGCTGACTTTCTCCCGTTATCTTACAGCTCAGTAGATGTTCGCGCACGTCTCTGGATTTGCCCTTTCTGCCTGTCGCGAAATCCCCTGCCACCGCATTACAAGGACATCACCGCGAACGCCATCCCCCCCGAGCTGCACCCCTCTAATACGACGATTGAGTATCGACTGTCCCGCCCTGCTCCCAGCCCTCCCATCTTTCTGATGGTTGTAGACACATGCCAAGAGGAGGACAGTCTTGCTGCTTTGAAGGAATCCTTGGTCATGAGCTTGAGTCTTTTACCTGAAAATGCCCTCGTTGGCTTGATCACCTACGGCACTATGGCCCAGGTTCATGAGATTGGGTACACCGAATGTGCCAAATCTTACGTATTCCGTGGCAGCAAGGACTACAATGCCAAGCAGGTGCAAGAAATGCTTGGTCTTCTGTCTCCGGCTATGCGCCCTGGCATGCCTCAACAACCGGGTCGACCTATGCCGGCAGGTCCCGCATCGCGGTTCTTGCTACCCGTCCAGCAGGCTGAATTCCAATTGACAAAGGCTCTGGAGCAGCTTCAGAAGGACCCCTGGCCTGTCGCGAACGATCGCAGAAATCTGCGATGCACCGGTGTTGCTCTGAGCGTGGCGGTCGGCCTTCTTGAGTCCTCCTTCCAGCATGCTGGCGGTCGCATCATGCTGTTTGCCGGTGGCCCCGCCACGGAAGGGCCTGGTATGGTCGTCGGCCCCGAGCTACGTGAACCCATGCGGTCACACCACGACATCGATCGAGATAACATCAAGTACTACAAAAAGGCATTAAAGTTTTACGACAATTTGGCTAAGAGAACAGCTCACAATGGGCATGTCATCGACATATTTGCCGGCTGCTTGGATCAAGTCGGCCTGCTTGAGATGAAGGGTCGTAAGTCTCGAGTCAGTCGTTGATGTTTATTACAACGCAGTGTGTGCTAATATATCACGTTAGTCTGCCAGCAGACTGGCGGCAGTATGGTCTTGACTGACAGCTTCACAAGCTCAATGTTCAAGCAGTCGTTCATTCGCATGTTCGAAAAGGATGGCGACGATAATTTGCTCATGGGCTTCAACGCGACGCTTGAAGTGTTGACAACCAAGGAATTGAAGGTCACGGGATTGATCGGACATGCCATCTCGCTCAACAAGAAGTCTACTTCAGTGGGCGAGACTGAATGTGGCATCGGCAACACATGCTCATGGAAGATGTGTGGTATTGATCCTGGCTCTAGCTATGGCGTCTACTTCGAAATAGCCGGCCAAGGGGGTCCGGCGCAGCATCAACAAACGCCGCAGAAGGGTATGATGCAGTTTCTCACATACTATCAGCATTCGTCGGGCCAGTTCCATCTTCGAGTGACGACGATTGCGAGGAACCTTAGCGGGCCAGCAGGCGATCCAGCAATCGCTCAGTCGTTCGACCAGGAAGCCGCGGCTGTTCTCATGGCCCGCATCGCCGTATTCAAGGCAGAAGTTGACGACGGGCCTGATGTTCTGCGATGGGTTGACAGGATGCTCATCAGACTCTGCTCCCGTTTTGCAGACTATCGCAAAGATGATCCTTCTTCGTTCCGCTTGGAGAAGAACTTCACTCTATACCCGCAATTTATGTTCCACCTGAGAAGAAGTCAGTTCCTCCAGGTGTTCAACAACTCGCCCGACGAAACGGCATTCTACCGACATGTTCTCAACCATGAGGATGTGAGCAACTCGCTCATTATGATCCAGCCCACGTTGGACTCTTATACATTTGACCAGGCGGAGGCATCGCCGGTTCTCCTCGACAGCTCCTCCATCCAACCCACTCATATTCTCCTGCTCGATACCTTCTTTCACATCCTCATCTTCCACGGTGAGACAATTGCGGAGTGGATGAAGGCGGGCTATCAAGAACAAGAGGGCTATGAGAATTTTGCTGCGTTGCTTGAACAGCCCAAGGAAGACGCAAGGGTATGTTTCATTGCTGGAAGTCTCTCTGTTGTCGCTAGGCTGACGAGGTACAGGACCTCATCACCGACAGATTCCCGTTGCCAAGATTTATCGTCTGCAACCAAGGCGGTTCGCAAGCAAGGTTGGTCACTGCTGCAGGGGTCCCCGCGAATAGCAACTGACGGGCCATAGATTCCTGCTCTCAAAACTGAACCCCTCGACAACCCACACGACTGGTGCCTATGGCGGCGTTGGGGCGCAGAACGCGCAAACAATTTTCACCGATGACGTATCTCTCCAAACCTTCATGGATCACTTGATGAAGTAAGTCGTAGTTGTGGATGGCTTGGTCTTCGAACTGGCAATTAACGTTCATGTTCTCGCAGGTTGGCTGTGAGCGGCACAAACTGAGGGCACCGCGCGTGCAATAGACGCAGGTGAGCGCGCCGTCAGTATTGTCGATGTTGGCGGGAAATGGTGGAGGCGCATCGTGGACAACGATACCAGTTTGACAGCAGGCCTGGCTTGGCGTGTTTTGGCCAGAGCGGTGTTCATGGGCGGGATACACTACCCATCATGACTTATGCAAGATGCCTATGCCAGCGATGGCTGTGAACAAGTTTTTGCGGGATGATCTTCTAGTAGACGCAATACCACAAGCCTAGGAGAACCTATATTTTAAGTGACTCCTGTCTGATTGCAGAGTGATAAGGCAAAACAGAAGGCAAACTGAACTAGAAACTGCAGTGCTATGAGAGCTGCCCAGGATACCGACGCCGGCGAATACTGAAGAGAATTGCCCCGCCCCCGCCAGCTTTGAAGACGGCACACCTGATGACCGCACTTGTGGCTGGTGGCTGGTGGCTGGTGGCTGAAGCGTTTAAGCGACTGGTGAAGTGAGCCTAATCCGCGCAGAAAGAAGAAGGTCAAGGGGGGGGAAAAAAGGGAAGGATCGGCATGAGAGGACCTAATTGGTAGAGGATCACGTGAAGGTAGCCGAATGCTCCCTTGCAATTGGCCAAGGCTCAAAGAGGTCTCGCCAAATTTTCTCGTTACTAGGATGCCAGCCACAGTTGATATGGCTGTGCTCTGGACTGCCATCTAGGGCTGCGGAGACGGCGCACACATCTGCAAAATTTCCTTGACCCTCTCAAAGCGTCTCAATCTTCCTTCGATCACCAACTTTCCCACCAGACCCAGATCCGAGAGCAGTCAAGATGCGTAAGCCTACCCCAAGATTCAGCATGTTTGTGGACGTGGAAATACTAATTATGTCGTCGCCGTGCAGCTCCCAAGTTCGATCCCAATGAGGTCAAGGTCATGTTCGTCGCGCCGCCGTTGCTGGCTCGATCCGAATCGAAGGGAATCTGTCGCTAACGTCGTGTGTGCGAATGCAGTCACCTCCGTGCCACCGGAGGTGAGGTTGGCGCCTCCTCCGCCCTGGCCCCCAAGATTGGTCCCCTCGGTCTGTCTCCCAAGAAGGTCGGTGAAGACATTGCGAAGGCCACTGGCGACTGGGTATGAACGAATCCCCATCCTCCTCCCCTCGTGGGACAGGGTCGTGGAAAGAGCAGCGCTCACAGCTTCAATTACAGAAGGGTCTCCGCGTCACGGTGAAGCTCACCATCCAAAACCGTCAAGCCGCCGTCTCCGTCGTCCCTACCGCCTCCTCCCTCATCATCCGCGCCCTCAAGGAGCCCCCCCGCGACCGCAAGAAGGAGAAGAACATCAAGCACAGCAAGTCCGTCGCCCTCGACGAGATCATCGAGATTGCGCGAACCATGCGCTACAAATCCTTCTCAAAGGACCTGGCGGGCACTGTCAAGGAGATCCTGGGTACGGCATACAGCGTCGGATGCCAGGTCGACGGCAAGCCCCCTCAGGCCATCATCGATGCTATCCAGTCTGGCGAGATCGACAGTAAGTGCACCCTATGAACCGCGCCTCCGCCGCCCGCTCGGTGCAGCGCAGCCTGGCCGCTCAACACGCTGACGAGTCTGGCAGTCCCTGAGGAGTAAACGAGGTCAACAGCTTGACGGTTACTCGCATGACTTCTGGAGTTTAGGAATGGTTCTGCATTAAGGGGACTACCCAAAAGGGACACTCTCTGGCAATCAAAGAAATTTGCCAAAAAATGATCAAATGACCAACCGATGCTTGCCGCAGACGATTTTCACCCGAGACGATGTGTTGTTGAGTCTTCCAATATCTGTCGCAGCAGGCCTGCAGCTTGGCCAACTTGCGCCTACCCGCCAACCACCACCCTTGACTACACTCTGAGATTTTCCACGCTCTCCCATGGTCTATTTCAATTTTGGTTTCAAGGAAGATGACACGCTTTTCCGGAAGCAGATCCCAATACTCACCGCGACATCCCACTACACCATGGAGGTCGAGGTCCACCAACGTGGCTCACATGCCTGGATTATCGTTGTGCAAGTGACTTCAAAGTGACATTGAGTACTAATGGTGACCATCAGCCATTGCACCCAAGATTGATAGGCTTGACTATCACGCCCTGCCGACATTGCTTCTGTGCAGAGGTCCTTAAGCGCATGTCCGATCGCCTGGTACTCCTAATTACTCTTCCATTTTCTGGGCGTCCGACAGCTCAGCCCTGCGCCCGGGACTGGCCAGGGCTATGTATATTAGGTGTAACGTAAGCAGTACGTCACGGGACGGTCGCATGAGCGGCGCAATGCGCTCGGTCTCGCCTGTGTTTGTACCGTCCGTCAGACGTCTAGAATGGCTGTAGACCATGGAAGCAACGCGACACACAGACTGTCCGGACGGCTAGGACCAGGACAGGTTGTCAGGCTGCGAGACAAGGCAACGCAGGCGGCGGGAAGGAATGGTGTTTGGTGTTTGGCACTAATGCATGGGTCCAGGTTCGTCACCCCAACGGTCGGCGTTTAAAAAGAAAATGTGCTGCGCATTGCCCCTATTCTTCGACTTCGCACGCACGTTGGCATGTCTTGAGCTGCGCGCAGAGCATGCTGAGTTATGTGTCCAGAGGAATTTCTTTGTCGAACTAATGTACGCGATCTCGTGCTCGTGGGAGCCATTTTGTCTGCTCAGGCCATGCTGTTCGGTTGCTGAAAGTAAAGGAGCAAGCATCTGAGTCTCATCGAGCCCACGCAGGCGCTTACCAGGGAGCCTTCACTAAAGCCGCGCACCAGTGGCTACCCCGAAGGCTGCGGCACGGCACACTTTTTGCGGTCCCCTGAACTCTGAGATGCTCGAACATTCCTCGTGGCCACCCAGTTGGAAAACCGCTTTGCGTTCAAAAACAAGAAAGCGACCTTGAACAAATGTACGTCACATGGATGTGTTCGTCTCCCTGAAGACCTGTGGCATGCTATATATCTAAGGTACTACGTCTTCATAGCTTTCACTGCGAAATCCCCAGCACCCCTCCCTCTCATCCACAGTGAGATTATGGTGCAATTAGTGGCAGGATATGCTGCAAGTAGTAGGTAGATAAGCCCGTAGGTGACAGGGTATCTCGGTCCTTGACTGGGTTGGCTGCTTGGCCAAGGCCTTGGGCAAATCGAGTACCATCAGAAACGAACAACACCTCGATGGCGTGGATGGATGGTCTGGAGGAGTGACTACTCAAATAAATCCCACCTGCTTTGGCCTGGGCTCAGCTGCTTCCTCCAGTGCGACTTTCTTGGTTGCGTCGGGCCTCCATAACACCTAAGAGAGAGGCAGAGCAAGCAGTAGCACAACCCGACAACAACAACAATAGACGCAAAACCACACACACCAACACCACCACCACGCCGGAACTTGACGCTAGTGCCCTTGCGCCTCTGTCCCCTGCCTAACTACTTCACGTTCACTTTTTTATTCCACCTCACTTTGCTTTTACACCCAACCATCCGCTTGTCATTTTGACATTCCGCCACCATCTGCCGCCGCCGCCGCCGCTACCGCAACCGCTGGCGCCGCCGTCGCTGCCCGTCCCTCGTTTCTGCGGATCCGACCTCCAAATCCACCCTCCATCCGCGCCCAGTTCAACCATCTAGAACATCGACCGCATCGATCTGGTATTTCTGGTGCCATCACGATATCCCACAAACAGCGAAGCTTGTTCAAGTCGTTACCGCAGCCAATTTCGCTGCGCTTCGAATCCGACTCGACGGCCTCTCCTTCGGCCCAGGTCAGAGTCGCTGACGGCACTGGTGTCTGGTTGGCATCTTCATTCAGCCAAGGCAGCCCAGATGCCATGCCCGTCAACGGGCCCGTCAGCCATGCTTTAACCAGCGGGCAATGACAATAGGTTCCCGAATCGCGGCTCCCAGCTTCCTCTTCGCCTTGCCTCAACCTCTTATTATCCTACTACTAGCATCGCATAGCCCCTGTGCCTGTTCCTGGGCCGCATTCTCCCCTGATCTATCGTCTCTCTCATGTTGCCTCTAGTCCAGATGCACCACATGGTGCAGCCACCACCAAATTTCGACCCTCTTCCGACGTTCCAGCAGCAACAGGATCACCTGCACGTACAACAGAATCAACTACCTTTTCCTCATCAGCAAGCGTATACCTTTGATAACCCTCTGAGTGGCCCGCCTGCCCAATCTCCAAACGTCCCGTTTCCCGATGGCAAGATCCCGAGATCTTTCCCCATTCGCACCTCACATCAACAGCAGCTTCATCGGCAACGTGGGGTTGCAAATGTGGCCGAAGTGTCACATTTCCCCGATCGATCAGAACATCATCTGCGACGCAAGACACCGAACGGCACAATCGATGCAGGTTACGATGGCTCTGCTGTACATCTAGCCTCGGGGCCTCCGCCCCTGAAGCAGATGATACTCCCAGCCGCGCCTACTGCCTACGCCGCAAATCACCTTCGCCCAGTCACCGTTACGGATCCAAACCTCCGCTCCAGACTGATTCCGGGCACACAACCTCGCGTTTCCGTGCCCGTGATCCATGACGCAGCTGCCGAGAGCGTGAACGCATACCAATCATGGGCCCTCGGGTTGGACATGTCGGCTCAGCCTTTGCCAGGCGTCTGTTCTGCGAGTTCTCATACCCCAGGCACGTTGCAGTATAGGTTTAATTCCCCCGACACGTCCCAAATTCTTGGGTCTGCTGCGCTATCGCGTCCTCGGTCGACCGCGTACAATGCCAACCCTTTCTTTCCTGCAGCCCTCCCTACGGACCATGCCACTCCAAGTTTTGTCCCGGGGCTTCTCCAGTCGGCGAACCCTTGGTTTCCTCCGCCTCAGCAACCCAGCTACGTTGGCCCGCCTTCCTTCCACACGCCATCTCCATCCACGTATGACTACCGGTTATGTCAGCTCTCGAACCCATTTCTGCGTCCGTCCGCCCACTTCACCTCGCCGCATGCTTATGTGCGCAACGCGTACGGCCAAGGCTTTCTTCAGCCCGCACAGTTCAACCTGGAAGCTTTGGCATTAGAATCCAACGTTGGCGACGGCATTGGTCTGGCAAGTGAGGCCGAAGCATCCCCCTGTGGCTTCAGGGAAAAGGCGCTCGCTCAAGCTCATCGGAGCTATGTCGATTTGCTCACATATCTTCACCATGGTCGCAAGACGCAGCAACTGCGTCCCGGATCAGCACTGAGCACAATGTCGAGGATGGTTGTGTACCCCAAACCCCCGAAGCAACCAGCAGCTACATCAGCCCCGATCTCTTTTTACCAGAGAGACATGCTCGCATCGCACAAACCACAAATAAAAGCGAACTCGAGTGGTTTGTTCTTCGGGCCATCTGGGAGCGAGACACAACTCGCTTCACGTCCTAATATTTGGGATGGCAACCAGCCGGATTTGAGAGAGAACATCTTTCCCGTCACAAATCCATCTGGTCAGCTTTTCCCCGGCCAATTCGGGCGAAACTCGCCACTTGCGAACGCGAAAAGTTCGTTAGAAATACTCACTCACTTGTGCGAGCAAAGCGGATGGAAATGGATTGACGGCGTCTTGCTCGGAGGATGTCTTCACTATGGCCTGGAACACTTTGAAGAGGCCATGGAATGGTTTAATCGGATCATTTCCCTGGACGCCGAGTAAGTCAACTCCCTGCAAAATCATTACGGCCGACTACAAATGCGTGAACGGCGTTTTGCTGACTTCTTTATCGTAGCCACGTGGAAGCGATCTCAAACTTGGCGGCCACACTCTATTGTCTGAATCGACAGGAGGAGGCTGAGGAATACTGGCTGAAAGCTATCAAAGCCAGACCGGAGTATTTGGAGGCAGTTGAACATTTGGTCGGCCTTCTCTACAAGAAGAAGAGCCTTGACGCCGTCGAAGTCATCAATTTCGTTCAGAAGGCTCTGCAGCTTCCAACAAGCCAGTCCGAGTCTGTCGGGTCCGCTGGCGCTAAGTCACTTGCAGCTGTCTTAGATGAGAATCTCCCGCAGCCCGGCTTTGGCTCAAGCGGATACGCGATTCCAGGGAGTGAGAACGGTCGTATTCTCGCCCTTGTCCACGCCAAGGGGACAATGTTGTACAGCATGAAGGACATTCCGGGGGCATCCAAAGCCTTCGAAGAAGCAGTCCTTATCGGCACGGGAAGGCGCACATGCTCAATTCAGACACTTGTGCGAAAAATCCAGCAGGTACTTTCTCCTGGTAGTGGGCTACGGAATGGGTGTGGAACGGCGACCCCTGTACGACCGTTGCTGCTACCTCCTGAAAAGGCGAGATGTACTGCAAAATTGGTATTCTCTGGAAACGGCGAACTTCCCGGGCTTCGATTTGTGCCAGAAGGTGGTCCAAAAAGGGCAGCCATCCAAACCACAAGCAACTCGCTCCTCTCCCTCGCCAAGATCTTTCAGGATGCCATGTCATCCGGCACTTCGTCTAATGGACTAATGCGGAAACCTACTGGTGTCGGTGACATTCTAGCGCTCTACTATCTATCCTTGTCTCTCCAAGAGAGCCCCTCGACGGCCAACAACGTCGGAATCCTTCTTGCGAGCGTTCAGCAGCCTGCCGCAGCCATGTCACCTGGAACTCTATCGACGCAACCCAACATTCCCGGCATCCCCCCTGGCAGTGGACTAGCCCTCGCTCTCGCTTACTACAACTACGGCCTGCTACTGGATCCGAAGCATGTCCATCTGCATACGAATCTCGGAAGCCTTCTGAAGGACATTGGCCAGCTTGATCTGGCTATTCAGATGTACGAGCAAGCTGTTCAGTGTGATGGCAACTTCGATATCGCCTTGACGAACCTCGCGAACGCCGTGAAGGACCGCGGACGCGTCAACGACGCTATTACATACTACAAACGAGCTGTTAATTCCAATCCCGAGTTTGCTGAAGCTGTGTGCGGGCTCTCCACCGCCCTCAATTCAGTTTGTGACTGGAGAGGTCGAGGGGGCGCGCTCGTACAAGGAGGCGAATTCGACCGTTGGCACGTCGACGATGACGGCATGTTGGTAGACGCACGCCTACAAGGTCGATTTACTGGTCTTACCAAGAAGGTTATCGACATTGTGGCCCGTCAACTCGAGGACGCATCGACGTGGGGTTCAGGGGTGCTATGCGAAAGCGATATACTTCCTCTCGCTGTACAGCTTCAATCGATCGACCCCGACTTGAAGGATACCTCACCTGATTTGGCGGGAAAACTTCGAACATGGACAAAAAGCCCATGGGAAGGATCTCGGGTGTTGAGGCTAGTGGAGCGGGCCACGCGGGCTTCCATGCGACAATGGTACTGTGACAAATACGTTCGAGGCGTAGTCAACGGTTCCAAGTATGAGCGACCGCGCTTGCCAGCCAACTTGACCGTGCCCTCGGCTCCTACTGTCCTACCTTTCCATACCTTCACGTGCCCCTTGACAGCGAAAGACATTCGCATGATATCCCAGCGCAATGCCTTCAGGATCTCATGCTCAACACTACGATCACCATGGCTGCCAAACACCGTGTACCCGCCACCTCGACCTCCTTCGCCACATCTTAATGTTGGTTACGTGTCGTCGGACTTCAACAACCATCCTCTGGCGCACTTGTAAGTTTCTCAACATCAGTGGGGTATGAAACGCAACGGTTGACTGATGTATCATGTTTAGGATGCAGTCTGTCTTCGGCTTCCATGACAGGAACCGGGTAAAGGCGTTTTGCTATGCTACCACGGCAAGTGACAAATCAGTGCATCGTTCACAGATCGAACGAGAAGCGCCAGTCTTCAGGGACGCCAGCAACTGGTCTTCAGACAGGCTCGTGGAGCAAATAGTCCGAGATGAGATTCACATCCTTGTGAATCTCAATGGATACACGAGGGGCGCTCGGAATGAGATATTTGCTGCAAGACCAGCCCCAATTCAGATGTCTTTCATGGGCTTCGCTGGGACACTGGGCGCTGAGTGGTGCGATTATCTCCTCGCAGACACCACTGCAATTCCCCCAGACACGTTACGCCCCTGGCGTGGAAACTTGACCATCCACGACGTGTTCAGAGACAACACAGAAGAAGAAGTGGGTGACTGGGTTTACTCAGAGAATATTATCTTCTGCAGAGATACTTTCTTTTGCTGCGACCATGCGCAGTCGAGTGATCCAGACGAGCACAAGGTCTCATGGGAGGATGAACAACGTCGGAGATGGAAGATGCGCAAAGAGTTGTTCCCAAATTTGCCCGACGATGCAATCATTTTAGGGAATTTCAACCAGCTGTACAAGGTAAGCTTAAATGGAAACTCAGCAGACCGATGAGAGACATGGCTGACAGCTTCTTCAAGATTGATCCTACTACCTTTCGGACGTGGCTGCGGATCCTTTCCCAGGTGCCCAAAGCGATTCTTTGGTTGCTTCGGTTTCCTGAACTAGGCGAAACCAACCTACGGAGAACAGCAAAAGCTTGGGCCGGCGATGAGGTCGCCAGCCGCATCATCTTTACAGACGTGGCGCCCAAGAATCAACATATTTCGCGGGCCCGTGTTTGTGATTTGTTTCTCGACACGCCGGAATGTAATGCTCACACGACGGCAGCGGACGTTTTATGGTCCAGCTCTCCACTCCTGACCCTCCCTCGGTATCCCTATAAGATGTGTTCTCGGATGGCTGCCTCTATTCTGAAGGGTGCTTTGCCGAGAAGCCCTTCGGGACTGGAGGCAGCGAACGACCTCATTGCCAGCAGTGAGGAAGAATACGAGGCGTTCGCAATCAAACTAGCCAACGGCCTCTCGTATCAGGTTGTCCCTGGAGGTTATGGCGAGGGAAGTGGTCGACTAGCAACATTACGCAAGCTGCTGTGGGACAGCAAGTGGACTTGCGCCCTTTTCAACACCAGGCGATGGGTAGCCGACCTGGAGCGCGCTTATGATGAAGCGTGGCGACGCTGGGTTGCTGGTGAAGCCGGTGATATTTACCTGTAGAAGGCGGCATCGTTGGGGAAATGCGGTAAACTGCTCGGGCACACCGGTCGCTGCTATTACGAAGGGCTCGTGAACAGCACCTGATGGCCAGGGCTTGCCAACCGGTAGATCCAGCTCGTTGTTTCTCTGTTTCCTTTTGCGCCCATGGTTTTGTCATTTGCTTGGCCAGAAAAGCGGGCTTGCTTATGTCTGGCTCAAATTAGACTTCGGAACCAATATGTATGTCATGCATGCGGTTGTGAGTAATGTTCACACCTCGCTTAGAGTTTTGATCACTGCTCATCCAAACGACAGCCGCGACGGAGTTGGGTTATTATCATAGGCATAGGCAACTGTCCAGAGCACCAGAGCTTTGGACAGGTTCTGTTAGGTTTTTGTTCTTCTTCTCCTTTTTTTTTTTTTTTTTTTTTTTTTTTTTTTTTTTTTTTTTTTTTTTTTGGGTTATTTGACTGGGCCGATGGGTAGCTCCCCATTAGGACCAACGGTCCAAGGCGTTATCAGGAGGCGCGCCGCGTGCGAGCCATTGTGTATATAGTAATACCCGGGGCCTCTTTCCTCGCTGTTGTGAGATGTGAGGTTCTTGCGATCCATGTCCGTTGAATGGCTTCGTTGCTCTTTTCTCGAGGTCAACCGTCTATGATGCTTTGTTGATCAAATGCTTGGCTTAAGCTATGCCTAGGTTTACCAAGACATTCAGCGTCGGGGGCTGTGGGTTACTAACGAACAAGCGCCGAGTTGCTTCTGATAATTTCACGTTGCGTCTCAGCCGGTTAACCACTCTTTGTCGTCGCATGTCAGGTTATGGGTTATGCCACGCCAATCGAAGCATCCATCGTATGTCAGCCAATGGCAAGTTTTGGCAAGCTTTTATGCATACCACTTTCATCAGTCACACACGTTCCCCCACAACGGCCGCTGCGAATATATTTGAACGCCACACACACGTACTCATTAGTCGACCCACGCTGTCGAGTGCGATACAGGCCGGCTTGGCGGAATGGAAGACGAGGTTAGTCTAGTGCAATACGGGGGCAGCCACGTTGAGTGCGTGAGTTGTAACTCTACCCCAAGGCTGCGGCGCGCCGCTATTGAATCACAGCTGTATAGTACGGTTCAGGAGCAGCCACAAACGTGGGACGGTTAAGGATTCCTTCTTCTAAACGGACGCGGCATCTTAGTGTACGGGAAAGGGATCATTGGAACACTTGGATATCATCTTCAATGGGGAAACATTGAACTAAACATCACAATGTGTCTTTCTAGGGAGTCTGAATGAAGAACTTGACCTTAGAACAAGAGCATTTCCGACGGTATCGAAACGCTGTAAGTGTATCGCGGATTACGACGATGTCATGGAATTTTTTGCGTATACCTCGGTAGGGCACATGGCTAACAGGTTAGGGAAGGTGGACATCTACCTGTGGCACTGATTTGAACATTCGCATGGGCCACGGCATGGATTCATGATTTTTCACATTGAGGCGAGGGAGGGCGTCAAGGACGATTTCATGCGTGTGGGTTGGTCCCGTTGTCGCTCGGCAAGCCATTGTTTCAGGAGCTGGCGATGCCACGATATGGCGAATCAGACGGGCTTATTCCCTAGCTTCTAAAGAACATCTGGCAGCGTCCGTTGGCCCGAATCTGTGGCTGATTCGGTGCTTAGTGCCCATAATGTCTCCGTACGAACAGTTCTCAAGGTATACACGGCTGATGAGCTAGAGCACGACGCTGTGCGAAACCACCCTGGACAAGCGGCTTCGCGTGTGTTATATTTCGGGACAGGTGATCTAGCCAAACACCGCCGCACTTCCAATAGCGAACCGTCATACGCATAGATGGCTGGCCAGTCGGCGGGCGAAACGGTCCATTTTGGCGCATCAAGAGTGTTGTGTCCATAGATGTAATAACTTCAAAGACTTTGACCTGTCAAATGTCAAATGGCTTTCTCATGCCGCGCCGGCTATATATCTCTGACTATCAACTATGATATGTAAAATGCAATGTGATTAATTGAACGGGAGAAGGAAAAAGAAGGGCAAATCAGTCACATCACTCGGACGGACACCCTGCCGACTGATGGCGACTTCAGCGTAATGCGGCCATGTGAACAGTATGCTATGATCAAAACTGCACGAGAGTGAAGGTTAGAGACGAGGCCAAACGGCTGCTAACGAGCCGGTAGTTAGCGACGTGTACATCTCGAGAGGCTAGTCAGATGTACAACGTCCTTCCATGTCGGCGACCGTTGACAGCCGCATCCACATCCAGCCGTACGGACGGGCTGAGACCTCTGGGTTCCATGGGTATGCGTTGTGGCTGGCTGGCCGGCTAGCCGTCCACAAGAAATGACCCCTTGATGTCGTGGTATCAGAGTCATTCATTTTGTTTTCTGGCGTGTCCCGACCTGGTGGCCCATACTGCCTTGGTCCAGGGAAACATCCTTGGATCCAGCCAGCCGCACGAGCAGGTCGAGGGACACTCGATGGAGTTTCATCTATCGATACTCCTACCCATCTTGGACACACATACATGATGTGGGATATCGCAGGAGGCAATTGGTCACGGAGAGTCTTGGTGCCGAAAGCAGCCCCAGCAGATCGTGGATGCAGAGAGGCAAACATTGGGCGGCGGTGTGGGCGCAAATCACGATGCGAACGGGGCTCAGGGGCCGGAGAAATATCACGAGTATCGGCATGGACAAGGTCATAGGAAGATTGAGAACAAGGAACGCAGGCGGATGGGATGGCTATTTCGTAACCGGGGTTCTGTAGAACTGCAAGTCACGGTAACCGGAAGAAGGCAGAAGATTCCAAACACACGGGGTTCGCGGCATCATCCATGGATGACACCCCTCCCTCCGAGCCAGCATTGGGACCGAGAGGGACGGACGACGGTTGGAGGGAGGGGGGCAAAATGCACCTGCAGGTGAATGTTTCATGGAACCGATGGGTCGGGTTGATGACAAGGTTGGGAACGGGTGCCCTGGACGGAGATCATTGGCGGGACGGGAGGTGCTAGTTCCAGCTGAACAAATTGTGGGAATTGTTGTTCATGGGTGATGGAGGGGGAAGAAGGACGGGGGGGATGGTGGTCACTAGAAAAAAGAATGGAGCACTCGCTTACCATGTCCATTTGCGGCCTAGGCCGACCGACCGACGAACAGGGGGAAGGCTACCTGGCCTTGAGACACCTCCGCCTCGGACAGGGAGTTCCAATTGTAAGCTGCCACCCCAACTTTCACATATCTCTGCAGAGAACCAATGCGACGTATCCGCAGCCATGCATAGGGTTGAAGAAGAAGTAAGGAGTCTAATCATGTTGGATAAGGAACATCAATGGACACTACTCAGCTTCGTCTTGATTCTAAGCTTCCCAGCCGAGCCTGGCTTCTACTGCTGACGTCGGCAAACAATGACGCCCATGCCGCAATCCCGGGAACGTGGTTGCTGGCCCCCGGACCGCGTCGCCTGCCTGAACGCACTAAAACAAGCCGCACTGTGCACACTGACGAGGGGAAAGAAGTGTGGACAGAAGCTTGAAGGTATATCTATATGGATCATCGACAATCACGCACATCGAGCACAAGCCAGAGCTCAGTGCTCCCTCGATTGCTGGAATCCAACGTCCGCCCTGCTTGCCATATCAACGGTTTTGGACTCGGCTTGGGACGGCTTGCTGCTAGCGTCGCCTGTGGCTGCCACCGGCTACAGGATCTAGTCGCCGGTGTACCAGACCCTCGGGCGCAGCTAATGTGCACGGAGAAGTGCCGCGAGAACGCGAGAACCAAGTGTCAAAAGAAATCTCGCTGGCTCCGGCTGAAGACCACGACACCGGTGATGGCGGCGGACATATGTCTCGTTTGGGCCCGTGGCGTCTAGTAGACATACGAACACAAAGACAGCAAGCAAAGTCAACTTAACCCCCCCTCCCCTCCTTCTTCTCTCTCCTCGTCTCGTCACGTCTCGTCACTATTGACCAGTCGGCAGTTTTGCCAGGCCATGCAGTCCTGTCTGCTCGATATTTCGCCTGCCGTTGTCATGCCTGCCGTGAAACTGGCCAAGTGGAGCTTTCGTTCCATATTCCACGTGAAGGATGCCGCCCGACATGACGCACTTACTGGTGAGCAGGGACGAAGTGGTGGAGGAGAAAACCACATCAGCGTCAAATAACTACGATGGAGAAAAGCATTGCCTTCCTGGTATTGGCGGTATCCTCCAAGCGATGTGCTATGGCCCCCGTGCAATAGATAGAGTGTTATGGTATTATTGCTCACGGAGGTGATGCTGAGAATATGGCAAGACTGAGGTCACGAATAGACTAGCGACGCCCTAATGCTTTACAGACATGGCCGCTGTCCGTCAGCCGTTGAAAATAGACCAAATGACAACACAAGGCCCGGGGGTTGGATCCTTGGGTCCGTCCACCGTTCCGGGTCCCAGAGGAATGGAAATGCGAATTCGGGCAGGCGGCGATGGCGTCGAGCCCATACCAAAACTACTGACTGCAACAATATTCGTACATCCCGCAGTATTAGCGCCAACACGGAAGCAGGGGGAGTCATCCTCCAGCAAAGTGTGACAATCACTAGGGAGTGTAAGGGAACAAGGGCACTCCATAGTTACGGGCGAAAGCCGTCGCATCCATGCTCTTCCAACGAACGGCTCGTGTCTCGACGGACGTAAGGCACGGCCAGGACTCAAATCAATTCACCTGTCTAGGTCAAGGTAAGTTAGCCCAGAATACCTTGGGTTGGACAAACAAGTCAAAATCACGGTGATGTACCTAACCGGGAAGGCCGTGGCACATGGCCGGGGAGGGGGTGGCCGACCTTGCCTACGGACACAAACACTGCACGGCGGTGTATGACACCCGTGATGCGTCCCGCTTAGCAAGTGACCCTCATTGCCTGGGGTTCAAATCCCCCCCTTTCTACGCAGGCTGCCATCTGCGATGGAATCTGTCACCTCATCTCCCATCGTGCTTGCTGTGGCTGCAGCGATTGTTGTTTTTGCTGCTGCCATCATTGTTGCCGGTTGTTGTTGATATCGTTCTTGTGGTTATTGTTAAACCCCACCCCCAACCCTGTGTCTGCTGATGCTACTCTCTGCACTTGTTTCTTCCAGTTCCAAGACCGATGTCGGGTATGCTCACGTTGGTGGAGAAGCACTGGCACCCACTCGTGCAGTTGAAGTGCCGTCGTAAAACTTGTCTATCTTCATCAAGGCGCATGATGAGGGTGGTAGTTGGTCGTGGTACAGGCCTGCGAGGAATTCCGAGTCCGTACCCGTGGGGGACATGAAGCTACGGACTGGGTACAAACAGCGAAGGACAACGGGCGAATGATGGCTGGTCGGCGGTGGGCTTTGACCCATGTCAGTGGTGGTCCCAGTCACTTGGTTTGAATCAGCCCGGGGCTGTTTTGGGCTTGACCAGGCACCGGCAACCTATTCGTACCGTGGGTAGGCAAGTAGGCTGGTAGGTAGCTGAAGCTAGAGGCGGTCCAGATCAGTCCCACGAGCGAGGGTCGACGTTTGCAATTCGTGGCAGGCCTGGAGATCCGCATGCGTCACAAGCACGAGCGATTGGCTATCGGCAACGGTATTTTCTGTTTTGCGGACCGTGGACGTGTGTGCAGCGGACAGGACAGGTAGCAACGGCGACGGCGACGGTGATAGGGACACTGGCCCGCATGCGGTTGCATGAGGGGCAGGAGATTGGCTAGCCATCATCTACCGTGCTGGCATGTCTTGGGCCGCCGATGTGTCGGTCGCCGGAGTGGGAGTGGACGACGACGCCGTCGATACGCACGTAAAAGGGAAGTAAAGAAGACAAGGAAACGTCGAGACACTGCCTCGAGCGGCACAAGGATCTTGCGGGAAGGGGGAATGGAAGGTCCCGTCGTTCATTCAGCCGTTTTTGGCAGTGTGCAGTCGCCGATGAATCCCTTTACACTGTTCCATTTTGTTGTTGGTGAGGTTTAGTGGCCGGTAGTACAGTCCCCAGGTTGTGGTTCAACGCTCTAGCCGTGCCACCACCACTTCCCTTAGGTCACCTGCTGTAGTGGCCTACCTTAGGTAGGTACCTTGAACACCTACGCCGGTGAGGTAGGTACCTTAGTGATGGACATGAGGTACGTATCTCGCCTTACCTCAGCACCTACCCTGAGGTAAGGTACCTTAGGTAGGTTCGAGAGATGGACTAGTTGGTACGCCGTACGGAACCGGTGAGGGGGCTAGCCGACGCCGCCCGGGTAGGCAAAACTCTGTACGCAGCGGGACCCGTCGCCGCGGACCCAGGTGCCCGGGTCAGCGTCCCAGCAGAGAGGAAGGTGTGCAAGCCTCCCCGCGATCCGCACATGGTCTTTGTGCCTCGCCATCTTTGCCTTTCTTGTGCTTCTCCATCTCACGATGCGATGCAGTGCCATCCCCTGGGCTGTGCTGTGCTGTGCTGTGGTGGGCTGGACTGGCTTGGATGCCACTCCGATCGCATCTCATCCCAAGCTCTCACTGCCACGACTGCCACCACTGCCATCATCGTCCTTCGTCCATTCCCTGCTTCGGTCCTTCCAGCGCTCCGGCTCTTGCCGCCGCCGTCGCAGCAATTCTCGATGCTGTCTAGGAATGGAGGTTCACCTGCGCCCAAAGCTTGCAGCAGCCACGGGACTGTTCCGGGGCGCCGACGTTGGCCCCCGTTGCCAAGAACGGTCCTGGCCCGTGATGTTCACGCCGATAGCGCAGGGCGATGAAATGTTGTTTGTTGGAGCTGGCCTAGCTGGGATTGATTTCGCATTGTCGGCCTAGTTGGGCAGGTGAATCTCGTCATTCCTGGCAATCTGCAAGTGCAAACAAGGCAACGCAAGACACGACGCCCAGCGTGGAGGCCCTTCGCTCGCTCGCTCGCTCGTCGTCGTCGTCGTCGTCGGTCTCCGTGAGGGAGGAGCGAGATATCCACCTAACACAATCTATCTACTACCCGTATTCTCTGCACAGGAAGGCACCACTGCATGCTCCAGGCAGGGACAAGGTTCCTAACGAGTATTCATTAACCCCCCTTCCTCCCCAGACGGATTACCTCCATATGCAGCCTGGGTGATACAAATATCACTCCCAGAAAAGAGGGCGGGTACCGCGGTTTATTGTTACGTAGCGTCCACCTAGACGAAACATGGCCTGCAGGGCAACAGAGATCTTGGGACCAGCAGAAGAAAGTTGACCCTGCCCCGGCTCTCCGACTGGTTGACTGGTGGAGGGTTGCGGCTCAGGGCAAGGGGTTCTAATGGTACTTGTTGAGTGACAATTGAGTGTCGTCAAACACCCACAGAAACGGCAACACAAACGAGTGAGGCTGAATTTCCGAACCATCTCCCGCATCACGACGTCGTGATGTAGAATGAGACATTGCAACGCTCTGTAGGGGAGGTGAGGGGTGGCTGTCTCCGTCTATCGCATTTGTGATCTGCAGCATGCCGGCCCAGACAGCAGACGGCGTCCGTGTCCGTCGTTGGACTTACGCCCATCTCCTCGGCTGGATCAATCATCTGCAGCCCGATTTCAAATTGTATTTGTGTTTTTCTTTTTCCATCTTTGGGATGATTGGGACTGTGTATTGTTCCCTAAGGTAGGTGAAGGAGTGCTTGTGGAGCTACACTTGATCTCCAACTGCCTCGGCAACTGAGGCCAGCCAGCATCTGCTTGCCGTCCCATCCATTGTCGTCTGTTGTTGATGTTCCGGGGATAACGTCCATGCCTGACCTTGCCTTGCCTTGCCTTGCCGTGCCGTGCCTTGCGTCTCCTTGCCTCGGTGAGCTCTTGGCGCTCATGGTTTGAGGTCCGGGCAGGTAAAGTGGCATGCCTGTGACAAATGTCCAAAAGTTATTGACGGGAGACGCGGCGGATGCGAATGCGGTTGCGCTCGGCCCCCCGATTGCTACATGCCCACCTTGCCTAGGTATCCGTAAGGCATGTATGTATGTGCATTTTGCCGTGCCTGAGCCAATTCCGCCTCTTCTGTTCCTTCTTGCCCTGCGTCTGTGCTGCGGCGGCCTCTGGAAGGAAAAGAGATCCACGAGCTTACTTGTTGAATCCGATGCGTATGCGAACTGCCGAGGCTTGGGGCTTACTGCCATGACCTTCCTTACCTAAGTGGAACAACGGACGTCTGCCGCGTCGGTGTCAGTGTCAGTGTCAGTGTCGTTGTCAGTGTCAGTGCCAATGTCAATCACATCACGTCGCATCTCGCTTTCTGAACTGGTGGGAATTAGCTGCTGCTGTCAGAGTGCCTTGGTTGCCGGCCTAGACTCCACCGTACACGGTTGGCGAGCGCGTGGGCCATTGTAGATGCTAGTCACGCTCAGCAAGAAGCTTCGAAGCACCACGCAACATCCAAAGCTGTTGTTCAACGATTGCCCCGTTTCCCCAACGGACGGAACTCTCTACATTTTCTTCATACGTACTGGGAAGCGGATTTGCACCTAGCTCGACCGACCGTGCATTGTTGCTCTCTTGTCCTCGAGCCACCATGCTTTACTTAGTGACGGATTGGCTCAACGCGCCAAGTACAACGGAAGTGCCATGACTAGCACCCGTTGCGCGGTTTTCGTCTCGCTTACCTCGCGTCTTGTCTTTCATCCGTCATCGTTCATGTGGAAGCTATTGGTTTTCCGGTAAGGGTATAGACCAAAAGCTCTGGCTCTGGCTCTGGCCCTGGCCTAGCCATCGACTACGCCGATTAGCATAAATATGTGTCGTTGTGGCTCATGGCGGGTCCATTTAGCTTCGACCGTCCAACGTGAAGTCGACATCCACAACGCCGTCGCGCCGAGTTTGTCCTCTTGGATGACTGCATCCTGAGCCGGTTTTGAGTGTCGCTATGCAGGAGAGCATGCAAGTCCAAATACATGACAGTGTCGTCGAACTTGGGTACTGTTATAGTGGAACAACATAGAAACCCCAGCACGGTAAAGTTGCTGTGTGTCCGGAAAAGATGTGTGCCACCTTGTCAACGACCCCGATGCTGCCAGACCTGATGCGTTCATTACTCGCGAGTCGCACCCGACCTGAATGACTTCTCGTTGCATAAAGTACCTTACCGAAGGTACCTTAGGTAATAACAAGGCACAGACAGGTCTACTTAGTAGGTCTGAGGAATGAGTACCTTAAGGTGCCTAGTTAAGTGCGTTGGGTGTTATCCGGCCCGGACAAGTGCGGGCTGCACCAAGCTGCCCAAGACTGACCAATGGCACTGGACCGCTCGAGGACCCATCCTTTGAATCTTGGTCATGATTGGTTGTGATGCGAGGCGGGGCAGCCACAGACCCGTAGCGGAAGGTACCTTATCCGTAAGGTAAGTACTGCTCTTCATTGGGGCGCCGTCGACTTGCGGGCTTCGCCGCGCATCGTGTCAAAGCAGGTTGGCTATTTCCGGCTGTAACCCAACACAAATTTTATCATGAATTGGATCGACAACAACACTGTTCATCGGTATGCGAAACCAACAGAACTCGCCCAGGTATCATACGCACCTGGGACGACCAAGTGCAGAGGCTCGGAGAGCTTGGCTCATATGACAACCGCCTCAACTCTCGGACCAGAGCTTGCACCCTGCGGCAGGATCTGCGCAGAAAGATGTTTTCACATTTGCAATCATGTCGCTGCGCCATCCCACTTCAGGGTCCACGCCATCCCGTTTGGTGCTTCCGAGAACACAAGAGAGGCCCTCGTCATCGCTACCTACCTACGTACCTACCCCTGCCTTACCTACCCACGGCGCACGTACCGAGGCCAGGCGAGGCAAAGGCACAGAAAGCATTGCCGTCTCAGGCACAACCACACTCGCAACCAACCGACCGCCCACCACCCGTTCTGTCAGGGGACGAAGCAGCCGTCACTCAGCTGTCAGTGATTTGGGTCTCGACGGGAACTCACTCTCGACCCCCCCCCCCGGCTCTGTGCTGAGCTCGTGCTGGTGGCGGAATTAACTCGATACATCTGAACTGGCCTATCTTACGTACACGCGCATGGGATACCTGTGCAACTCAAACAACCACAAAGATCGGATTGTGCTGATCGGCCCCACCAGAAACGGCGTCCAGACCCTGACCTTCCTTCCCATCGTGTTTCTTGAAGGCGGCTTGAGCAGCCGTACGTAAGGCAACGTCGACAATTCCAAACATGACAGACGACTAGGCAGGCAGGCACCAGCTGGATTGACAACTGCTCAAGCCGCATTACCTCCTCTGACGACATGTCAACATGTCATTGCGGACTCAAATCATAATGCCCTACCAGAGACAGCACAACACATGCTGAGAGCTGTGCTCGCTGCTCGTGTTACGTCCCGTCGCCTTATACCACGCCACCCGGCATGATCGCCGGTCTGCTCTCCCCACCAGGCGGTCTTGTTCCACCCTCCTTCGACCCCGGCCAGCTGAACACGGCCCCTCCGGGGGAAAGAGAGTGCTGAAGGATGCATCATACTCACTATCATTTCGGTCCCAAACTGCCGTTCAGCTCAGTCTCAGGCTCTAGCTTTAGCTGCCAGCTCCGGAGCATCTGTCTCTCTCGGTCTGCCTGTCGATACTGCATCCGTCACTTGGCCGGGCTCGATATTCCGGCCAGCGTGCGCAGCGTGCTTGACAGCCGCCGTTTCCAGCATGACGAGACCCGGTTGAGAGTGCACTCTACGTTCCTCGAGGAAAGAGCAGGGTCCGAAGACGGCAAGAAACAACTGTCTCGCGTGGTGATTGAGCAACGAGAAACGAGAAATTCAACGCTTCTCTCTTTGCATGGTACTTCGCATCCGCATCGCATCGCGTCGAAGCCATGCACGGCGCACGGCACGCTGCATCTCCATACCTAACGTAAGGCGAGGTGAGGTGAGGTAAGGCAAGGCAGGGTATACCGTATGCCGGCCCGCTCTCGACGGGCACGCAGAATATGAACGCCAGTGCGTGTTGCTGTCTACGCCCGTCGAGCATGGATGCAAAGTCCGTGCCTTTGAGGATCGCCCAACTGAAATGAAATAAATGGCTTCGGCTCTACTCCGTGCATCTAACTTTCAACTCCAAGCCTCGGGACGTCAGATTTCAGTCAAATCCAATGAACGGACTCGAGGGTCTTGAACCCCAGCCCCAGGTCCCTCAAAAAGATAGATACGTTTGGGAAATCCCAGACATGGATGCTTCAATCAAGCTTACCCGTGCATATCGATGAAGTTGCGTTGACGTTTATTTTCCCGGCCGGGGCAATAGGACCGTACATCAGTGTGCATCACACTGGCCATGAGAGAGCCGTGGTTGTTCGTCAGGGCATTGTAGGACATGGCACGGAAGGTATCGAAACGTCAAGCAGCCCGGATGCGCTTGGCTGATTTCGTCAGGTTGGAGGATTCGCACTTCCAAACACGGCGCTGCAGTGCTTTCGTCTCTCTCTATGGCCCTGGCCGCTATAGTAAGGACACAGTCGTTGGTCGCAGTACCTGAGGTAGGTAGTCCTCGCTCGATCGAGACCGTCTCCTCGACAAGCTAGCTAGCCTCATCCGTCAGTCCAGCAACGCCCGATTTCAAGAGCTTGCCATATCCTGGCATCATCCTGGCATCAGATCAGAGATTCATGTCCCGCCGGGAGTATGGCGTGGGCTTGGCTTGGGCTGTGGCTGAAGCCGGGGCCTCTACAAGGGGCAGGGACAGGCCCAGGACGGATACCAGTTCAAAAGCACGAACAAGGATCATGATCAGAATCGGGACCGGGGCTGGAACCGGGGGACAAGGACAGGGTCTTGGAGGCTTTGACCATGGAAGTGAACAAGGGCCAGGGGTGTGTCTCGAAGGAAATAGCCGTAAGTCAGTCTGTCAATCGAGACTCAGAATCTGTCCCATGGCCTAGGATACATGCTTCTTACCTGGGCACGACAGTACGGTGGTGGGCATTGTTTGCTTTGGTCTTAGGCTCTCGACCGACATACCCTGGGTTCGCAGTGCATCAAGCGCCCTGAAGCCATCTGAAGCCTTCTTGCCCGACTGCCCGACTGCCCGACTCCAATGCACATCGACAGAGATCATCGGCGGCTGTAAGTGACTGAACTCGATATTCGCTCAGCCTCGTTCTGAACGGGTTTCTGTCTGTACCTACTTTTGGAACGGACGGGTAAGAAGGTGCCTAGATGACAAAACGCTTGTGGTTGTGGATGTGCTAGAAAACCCCGCGGGGCCAACAGTCAGTCAAAGGGCCTAGACCTGAACCTGGGCCCCTGGGGCTCTCTCACCTTAGGTTTCCCCCATGTCGGCCTTCTGTGTAAAGAAACGACGGATACAGTTGAGCTGGATTTTTTTTTGTAATACCTTTACCAGGTACCTTGCCTGTGGACGATGCTATTGCGACACCCCACCCCCATGTACCACGCCTCCCGTAGTGATCTCCCACGCCCCAACTCTGATTTCCACCCACGAAGCACAGTCAAGTAGACCTACACCATCTTCTGGGGGGATGGTACATGCAGCAGCTTTTGTCCAGTCTCACCCCCTCCCCCATGAGGAAAAGCGTCTGTCTTCTCTTTCCTTGCTGCTCTATCGGATCGTGCTAGGTGCTGATGCTGCAGCAGCTGGACCTCTGCTTTTGGGTAGGGTGCCTCTCTCCATCCCAGGTAATGTGGTGCAGTTCCTTACCTCACTTCTGGGCTCGCCGTGGGTTTACAAGAACGCTCCACTCGCCATCACCATTTCTTCGTTCTTCTTCCACCCTTAAACCAGGTTCATTTCAAACCTTAACCTTTCTTTTTCGCCTATTATCCCCATGTCCTCCAATCTTATTGTTGGATTTGCATAGATCTCGTTCTTCGGCACAGCCTCTCATACTCCGTTGTCTCTCTCCCACGCCGCTTCCATCTGCCCAAGCACTTATATATGCACACAACCCACGCCTATCCAAGACGTCTGTGAGCCTCTTCATTCTCCCTCTCTTGGATCATCTTCATCATCAACAACGACAACAACAACAACAATAATAACAACAACAAGACCATCGCCAGCCCTTTCTACTTGCTCCCAACTTGTACACATCTCGACCTCATCGCTCAGCTGGCACATTGTTACCCTGGGCTTCGGTGTCTACCACCACAAACCTTCCATCATAATCTTAGTCAATTCACACAACACTTCCACAATGGCTCAAAGAAGAGGACCGTGGTCCCAGCAGGAAGACGGTTATCTCATGCAGCTCGTCAGCGACCAAGGCCCCTTGAACTGGGTTCGCATTGCCCAAGCCCTCGGAACCCGCACGCCCAAGCAATGCAGAGAACGCTTTCACCAGAACTTGAAGCCCACACTTAATCATGAGCCCATCACAGCCGAGGAGGGCGCCCAAATAGAGATTCTCGTCGGCGAGATTGGCAAGAGGTGGGCCGAGATTGCAAGACGTCTGCATGGTCGCAGCGATAATGCAGTCAAGAACTGGTGGAACGGAAGCCAGAATCGCCGCAAGCGTCACGATCGTCGCAGAGCCAACCAGAGCACTTCTGGCTACGACGACAGAAGATATGGCCACTCTGCCTTCACACGCCCGACTCTCACCCTCAACCCTCACCCGTCAGCACTCCCGCTTCCAAGGCACGCCGTGTCGTCGCCTCTCTCCCCGACGTTCTATGGTCACAGCCACAATCATACTTTTTATCATTTGGAATCGCCTCTGCCGTCACCTTGTTCAACCTCGTCCCCTGGCAGCGACACACTTGACGCCGAGGCCTCGACTGTCTCCGATGCCGCGTCAAGCTACACCACATCTCCCCAATGCCTTTCCAGAGGCACATCGCCATCTCTCCAACTCCCTCCTCTTCGTCATCTAGACACTGGCTCCCAGCCTCGATCATTACCTAGTTTCGGTTCTCTGCTTCATGCACCGAGCGAAAGGAAAGAGCACGGTCGACTACCGTCGTTGGGATCGCATCTTTTGACGGCGCCAAACTCGCCGGTATCGAGCACCGTCGCTTCACCTGTACCAGCGGATAAGGACTCCCGGATGGACGTTTCAGCCCTTCTTGGATGACTTGGCGCGCTGTGCAATGCGATACAGTACGTGGAAAGTTGAATTCAATCTGAACTTGTGTTGTGGCCGAAACTGTACCAAGAATCTACGGGCTTGAAGGCGCAATTAGACAAAGGATTGGTTATCTGATGGCGAGTACCGGAAAAGGCATGTTGTCTTGTTTTTTGTCTTTCTATTTCTATTTGATATGTATCAACTCAAGCGAGGGAAAGGCGTTCGGAGACCAGAATATGATGGTTCGGCATGGGTCTGGTAACGTCCACAAGATGTACCGGGGAAAAGAATAACAGCGTGTGTTGATTACTCCCACGCGCACCGCAAGACGCGGCCTCGTAATGCAAAAACTATTGCTCAGCACATGACTTTACCCTCCCGGGTCATGCACTTTTATCTGTTGTGAAGTTGAGAGCACGCTGTACAGCTCGAAGTTGGCATGGTTTGCAAGATATGTTTGGTGTTTCCAACGCATGTGTCAGCGCAACTTGAGTAGCTTTGGGGCTCGAATAGGAGTTGCCAGGAATGGGCATCGTCGAACAGGGCCAGAGAAGGCTGAGGGAATGTATGAAATTCATGCCCACGGACACGTCAGCGGCGATCGACGGGACCAGTGTGTGGGCTTGCAACAAGGGCATAGACAAGGGTCTTGTCTCTGTTCAACGCCCTATGTTTCCAACACAAGTCGAAGGGTTCCCCCGGCTCTGCTGGACCGTGGGCCCAAATTTTGGAGCCCTCTGTTGGGACCAATCGCGGGCATCCATGGATGGCGGACTATTGCGTAGACAAGCCCAGGACAAGGTGAGGCGGAGGACAGAGCGTCAGTCAGGCCAAGCCAGCCGCCAGGAGAGAAAGTCGCATTCAACACGAGGTAGATGGGGTTAAGGGGCGGGCGGGCTGATGTCGATCATGACGAGCAATTGCCCATGGGCGAATTTCAAAGTTTGCGATGAGAGTTGGCTTAGTCAGAACGGACTCAGTTGCCGGATTTCGAAGCCAGTAGGAAGGGAGTCTGAAGGCGACAGAAGATCGGACCAGCTGTAGAGGCAAACTTGTTTGCTTGCACGATAAGGCAGAGTTCAGGCCTGGCGTGGCGTGGTGTGGTGTGGTGTGGTGTGGTGTAGGGCGGTAGAATGAACAAAGTACATAGTTAACGTTCCCGAGGCATATACGAAGCATGCGTGTCCACCGTCTACTTCATCTGATACAGGGTTCGGCCACGGCCGTCTGTTGACAATTCTTCAAACGAGCGAGCACACGGCGAAGAAAGTGGTCGGTAGGGACGGCGGTATGACAATTGTCCAGAGTCAATTGCATGGCATGGGGCAGCTCATCTTCCGTCGTGCAAAAGAAGACGGTGATCTTCACAAGCCCCTGGTCTCCCACCTTCGGGATGTTCGCATCCCGTAGAGAATCCCTGAAGGAAAGGCGGATGGCAGCGAGTTGGCCACGAATGGGCAGCGCGGCCGCGCTGACGGGACCGAGCAGGATCTGCGAGTGCAACCCTCCCCCTTTGACAAGAAAACCAAGGCCCGGCCGGGGAAGCCCTGCTTTTCTTTCGACGTCTTGCACCCTTGACGGCATTGAATGGATTGTCGTCCGAAGCACCGACACCGCCGTGACCGCTACACCAGAGCTACCTACTACCTACCTTGCCTACCGTCGACCGTTTCGAAGGACCACAGCGCACCTGGCACCGGCGCGGCTGGGTCCTGGCCTGTCGAATCCAATTTGACACCAACCAAAGCGTCAGTCACCCAGTGTGCCAGCCAAACCAAACCAAACCAAACTAGATCCGACCATACGGGCCGTTTCCGACCACAAAGGTCGGTTGACCGTTCGCGCTCGCCATTCAACCTCGACTGGCGACCACCTCACCTCCACCTCCACCACTGCTACCACCACCACCGACGACGGCACCGCTGTGCCGACCGGAGCAGTCCAGTTGGTGGCCGCTACGTGTGGTGCGACCGCGCCCGCCCGCGTCCGCAGACAAACTGGACAGGGACAGGCAGACAGACGGAGGGACGGAGGGAGGGACGCTTGTATTGTCACTGTCCACCGGTGCATTCGTCCAAGACAACGGCCCATCGAAGATCTGCCCCCAATTTCACCTACGCTCGCTCACTGCACGCTGTTCCCTGCTTCCCCCTATACCAAAATCATCGACGTGATGCCCGGCGGTTCGTCATTGCCGTCACTGGCCTCAGCAGCATCACCATCTCTTGCGTCATTGCTGCTATTCGCTACCTTTCGCAGGCGTGTTTTTCATCGCATACCCAGAGGAGAATAAAGAAACAATCACAGAAGCGAACGGTCTCTATACGTGCAGAGCCGATGCGCGAGACCCAAACACTTCATGACATTGTACCCGATGGCATACGGGCGTAGCATACGCGCGAGAGAGAAGGGAAAGAACTAAAATTGCGATGCCTTTCCTCACCTCACTCACATGCGCACAGCGAGACTGGTAGTATTAAAAAAATAAAAAAAAATAAAAAATAAAAAAAAAGGTAGACAGGGCGAATCCTGAGGGTTCTTGGCATGTTGATTCCACATCAAATAGCCGTACCTGCTCGACTACCGCCTGGGTCGGCATAGCTAGGGGGTTTCCCGGATGAATCTGAAGCTGCGTTTGGCCCGATGCAACGCTGGAAAGTACGGGATTTTGCTAGATTTGACGATCGTTCTTGGGCAGGTCAGATGGGATTTGGTGGGTGGGTGGTCGATGGGGAAACGGGTACCGGCGCGTAGGAACACAGGAGTCAGGATGATGGGAGAGGAGGACCACGACGTGGACAGGGGATGGTGGAGACGGATCTCAGATCCCATTTTTATTTGGGCGGGCTGCAGGTTGCGAATCGACGAGTTGGAATCGACAACGCATGTGATGTGGGACAGGTTCGCCCCATCCACCACCGGGGCCCGGGGCCAATGGGCATCTGTCGATCAACGGTCGGCCAGCAGCAGCGGCAGCGGCAGCGGCAGCGGCAGCATGAGAACCGAACAGGTGGAAGCAGATTCAAAGGCAGATGGCACCGGAGCACGATGCGTGGAGCGGCGACACTACAGGGGAGGTGGGTCGCCTCCACTAGGTACCCAAAGTACATAGTAAGGTGCCTAGGTAGCGTACCTACCTACCTACCTAGGTACCTACCTTACGTAGGTACTTAGGGGGCAAGGGCCAGGCCAGACTCGCCCAGGTTTGTCAACGGGAAGCCTCACCAGCAGGGGTTGGTCAGGCTACCTACCTACCCATGTTGTCGCAATTTACCAAGCCGTAAGCAGAGTGCATGCGGTCTACGCAGTACGGGGACGTTCCGTGGGTCTTTCTCCATCACCACCATTCATCACCCGCAATTGCAGCATCATATCGAGATTACAACGTGCCAACCAACTGGCCAGCCACTCAGCCCTCCAGCCGTTATACGGGTGCCTGCTGTCTCTTGCCCCTGGACTCTGTCTGAGACATGGAGCTAGACCAGGGCCAGGCGGGTAAGGTATTTGCAATTGGGGAGTCACCTTCGAAAAGACCAATAAGCCTGGGTTAGGATGAGTGGGCACCACCAAGACAGTCACACGGAGCCCAACGGTACGAATACCGGACGTAAGGTAAGGTAGGTAAGGAAGACAGACATGCCTTCACTTTGTGTTGTGTTGTCGGAGCGAGGCATCATCGTGTATGTGCGTGGGAGGATCCTGCTGCATATTGTCTCGTCGACTTATACCATTGCTGCAGCGGAAATTGAGAGATGGCCGACCACTACGCTGCCGTTGTTGTGACTGTTGTCGTTACTGTCGCTATGCTGCTGCTGCAACTTCTGCAGGGCTCATGAGTTTCCGCCTGGGTTTATCAATCTGCATCTGCAACTTCGTCGCCTTGGATCGTTATATCCGTACGTCATATCCGTTCTTTATTTCACCTTACCAAGATTGGGCAGCTGTGCGAACAGACGACATGGGAGCTAGGTTGGGGATTGGGGGTAGTGGGGCTGCTTCCACATTGCATCCATTCCCGCATCCGCACCCGCACCCGCCAAGGTGCAGCAGGGAGGGGAGGGAAGAGCTCTCCAGGGGATCCGCACAGAGTGTACTGCATAGTAGGTACCCATCACCATGCTGCCTATCCGAACGGAGTACAGATACAGATATTACTGTTTCCTCACCCTCGCTCCCACCAATGCCCACGCCCACGCCCACGCCCACGCCCACGCCCAACTACCCACCCTTGACCAACGTTATTTCTTTTTCCACCCCTGGGTTTCCCCTCCCTCAGCATTGATGATTACTGATGGTGCGAGGTGCAGCTGAGTTGAGGCACCGCAAATAGGCAGACGTCGTGAAAGACAATCGTTCTGGCTCCCAATCCACGGTAAGAGAACTCAACAGGTACTCACACCCGCAGCATACATAGCACTGCGGTTGATCCCAGCTTCCCCGGTGCAATCAGAACCGCAACTGCAACCATTCGCAACATAACGCCCTTGTCCCTAGAACTCGATGGGTTCACCGCAGGGGCTACAACAGCGGCTTTGCCCTGTCATCGTCGACACGACTTCTGGATACTTGATGCTCTCTATTGCTTGACACGGCACGAAACCCCACCAGCCAAAGAGATGAGCCTCGCGCGGTTCACAGAGCAAGTTGATTCACTCGCAGCATCCTCCATGCCCCCCTCCTTCTCTCAGCTCCCCCATGCCTTGGGTCGCACAAACCAGGGGAGAACAGATCGCACAGGATCCTCTGTCACTCTTGGGTAGCTCTGAACCTGGGCCACGGATATCAGTACTCACATCCGCGGCTGTGGTTCAGCCCGATTTCGATCCCCGTGTGAGCGACGCCAAACATATTGTTTTCTTTTCTGGAGAGCATGGGGGCCTAAAAAACGACAGCCATTCATTGCATTTCTCCACCGCCCACGACCTTCTACATTTCTTTGCCTCCTTCAATACAGGCAACCCGCGATGCAGAGTCGTCATCCTTAACATGGCGTCAATGACGCCTCGCATCATCAGCCTCAATTCCAAGCATCTTCCTTGCCCCCTGCCAAGTCTTTAATGGGACCTACAATCTTCTTCGCTGGCTGGCTGGCTGATCAACTCACTGCTATTAATGGTTGGCTGACCTGTGAAGAGCAGTTGGGGCAGTCACGTAGCCTGTCTTTCGAGGAGTCTCCGTGGCTTAGAACCTACGCATATTCCGCTCCAGCCAATCAGAGCACTATGAGGCCGTGCCAACGGCACGCCACACACAGCAGTTGCAACAGTAAGGTACGGATAAGTTCCCCAGACGCCATAACATACATGGGGAAAAAACCCGGTCGTTAGAGCGAAACTGTCTTGGGAGAGAGTGGCTTTCCCACCCCAGCATGACAAATCCCCCCCCTTGTTCTCTTCAGTGTTGGATCAAACCCGTCCGAACAAGATAAGACACGCAGCAAAAGGGCACATACCCGAAGATGCGGCGAAGCCCAGTACGGATACCCTAGTCAGGGGATCTGCCAAACTGGTGGTCTGCGTGACTTCGACTTAGATAGACGTCACAATCTTTGCTCAGCCATGTGCATCCCTCCCCCAATCGCTTGGATGGTAAGCAGCAGCAACATCAATAAAGGCGCCTCGTATCCAAGGATACAGCCCTATCTTTCTCTCTCTGTCTCTTCCACTATGATTGTCCACGGAGGGGGGTAGGGGCCAAGGAGGGTGTACAAAGCTGCAACGCAAGCACCGTAAAATCACACGATGGCACCATACCATGCCTTATATGTAAGTGCTGGTTCAATGTGTGCGCTGGTAGTGCATATCAATCATGCAATTGATTCAAGGAATCAACGACGCCCGCATGCAGTGGGACACCACAGACACACATAAGACTCCAACCCGGGACGACGAAACCTATTCCCCCGTTGGGAATACAACATTGCACACCACAGTCACTTCAGCCAGCCTGTCTGTAATGTCATCGCCGAAGTTGTGTGCACGTGTGCACAGAGGAAGCTTGCCTGCATCGTTGCCGGCCCAAGGATCAAGGTGATGGGCACTTCTTACCTCATGTATCTTGGTGTGTGTGATCCTTCTTCGTTTATATTACGCTGTGGTGCTGTTGGTCCTGGGGTTTTGATCTTTTTATTTGTCATTGATCCTTCAATCTTTCTGCTCTCTTTTCTTTTCGTCGTCTCGGCACCCTGTCCTCTTACCCTGTTGCACACAGACCTGCCCTCGCAGGCTTTTTGCAAGACATATATATAGACAGGCGCGGGTCGCGCGAGCCCGCCGCCGCGGCACAGGCACCCGTGGTCCTATCAGAATCACTCGAGGCTTTCGTGCGATGAACCACATGAAATTAGACTTAAGGTAATGACCAGTCGACACGCAAGACCGGAAGGCTTTCGCAAACGGAGCTATGGAGTTCGTCGCATCTCAATTGTATGCTCGGCAAACACTTGTAAAGAGACGCCAGAATCAACTCGTCTTCAGTGACCGAGGCTCATTATTCATATACATATTCCTCGTGATTCTTCGATTGTGTTACCCTTGGATGCGTGTCACTCAAATGGTGAAAGCAAGACTTGAACCTCTGTCGCCACCTAGTGTCTTGGGGCGAGCCGTTATACTTCATCCGCAGACCCACTGCCGATGCATTCACATCATTGGGGATGTCTTGTTTGCGGATGCTACAAGTCAATCTTTTGTGTAATACCGGAACTGGAAAACAGCCACGGACTGCCGATTTGAAGTCTAATCGTCCTGGGACTCGGTATTGCCGTACCCGCGGAAGTAGTACCGACCGGTGAGTGGAGGGCTTTCTGGTGCGGCGTATGTGAGTGATCAAGAAGTCGTGCGATACTGAGCTAAGAGTTCTTCCGAAATAAGTGTTAATCTGACCCGGACGTATTTCCGTCAAACGGTTGGCGTTGGAAAAAGCCTCCACAGTTTCTGTGGTTGCAATTCCTTCAACGGCTAGCAGGCCAATCTGAGTTCCAACAGTTCTGCCGATTGACGAGACGAAGAGAGTCACGAGACTGTTCGTGGGAGTCGCCATCGTGACATCCTGATTGGGGCGGGTTACCGAATTCGAGTTGCGACGACGGACGCTGAGTGAGGCGGCGGCCATACAGGTGACAATATACTCAAGTACTTCCGGTTATGGATAGGGAAGGGGAAAAGAAGCAGGCAGAGTTGACGCTCCTCCTCCAAAAGTATTGCGACCCGGCGATCTGGGTGAGAAACGCCTCGCCTGCTGACGGTGCGAGGGGATAGCATCCCTCCTCTACCGTCTCCTTTCGGCCTTTTGGTGCCTGGGGGCGTTTACTAGTTGCTGCCGACCAAAAGGCACCTTGATTTGTTTCACACACAAACCGAAGGGCCGGCTGTTGGCTAGATGTAGGTATTCGGAGCTGTTTGATTTGCTCGTGGCTTCGCGCCTTTCACTGTGGCTTCCCCGACCCGCATATCCGTGTTCTTCCCTGCGTCGGAGACTGCTTTCAATGCAGCCTAGTCGGCAGGACATGTTTCGCTGCCGCGATATTTCCCGCCGAAGGAATGCACCAAGTCATGACGCAGCGATCTCCTTGCCCCTGAACCATCTTGGTCTTATGGGGATGCAGCCTACAACCTGTGGAAGCATCGCCCTAAGTCCCGCTCATCGCTATGATAGCCGCCGGGCAGAGGACATGGCCCTCGGAGACAATCGTGAACCTAAACAGGGGCTTCACGTGGCAATGTTTACAGTCCTGGTGGGGAGCTATCGGGATACATATTGCGAGAAAGCGGTTGCAAATGGGGCTCATGTATTCGGGGGCTTATGTATTCGCTCGAATACGGAGCACGTCATGCCAACGTAGACTTCACGAACCCTTAAGATTCGGGAACACGTAGCAGGGAGATACAGCAATATATTTGGGAGGTGAAAACGCGACTAGGCGGCTCAACGTTGCTTGTTGATTCGCAACGGGTGTCATTCCTTTGCCCAACGCAGCAAGCAAAAAAGCCCAACTCGTGCTTGATACAACGAACTTCGTTCACATTTCGTTTTCTCCACTGCTCTTACTCCTTCTCCGTCTGCGCTGAGCGAATGGACGTATCGTCAAACGAGATCGTACGGACTGGGCCGCTATCTTGAGAACTGCGACGAGTCCCATGCCCATCCGCCTCGTCGCAGTCCGGGCTTCATCCTGCAGTATTGTGTGAGGCCTCGATATGTGATAAGATGACCCCAGGTGTTCTGACGTTGGGGTGTGACCTATTTCCATCAGCATCAGATGTCTGCAGCACTTGAACTCAAAGGACTGGCTTTTGCACCTCTCGGTCGATAGATGCCGCCTCGGTACCGTTTGCGCATGTTCTATGACTCTTCGATGGTTCCATGGGGGTTTTGGTTTGCCAAGGGCAATAGGAGAATGCCGTCCTCTCCCGGATCGAATGAAAATTCTCTCTTGTGGCGGCTGACTTCGCGTTTACATCGCAGGCCACTGCCAGTCTGCGTCGAGGCATCCGGGTTTTCGCCCAATAGACCGTTCACTGTCGCCTGAGTGGGTGTAGTTTCGAGTCTCCCGTCGACAGCTCGATCGCTGGGACCGGCCGGCACATCCTCGTTCATATGCAGGACCGTCACTTCGCTAGCTGAATCCGGGTCATCCGCAGGGACGATATTGTTTTTCATAGTAGTTTCTCCTTTAGCAAGCGACTTGGCAGTGGAGTTACATCGATTCTGGTGATTTGTGGGCTCATTTGAGATGTGGCATGATGTCAAGTCGGCTCTGCCGGGCGTCTTTCGTGGATCGTACCTGGTGTCCCAAAACCGCCTCAACTGGGCTTTCCTCATCCTTTCGCTCAACTCGGCATCCGCATTACTGTCCAGGTTTGGGCGCATCGACACTACATACGTTAGCAAGTGAATCAACCCTTGGAGACGTTCGGGTCAGCTTACGATATGTGGTATGCGTATGACGTAGGCTACCCGTCGCGCCGGAATCAAGGGTATTCTCCAGAGCGGCGGTGTCGTCAGGATCTCGTGCTTTGTATCGGAACCCGTCAGTGTTCAAACTGCTAGGACAAACTGCGATGGAGCTTTCCTCACCTTTTACAGGACTCTTGGCCTGCTCTACCCTGGCTTTGAAGAGCCGGGATGACCTGCTGCTTCTGTCCACGATGCTGCCGGATCGTGCGAGGGCGACCGCGCCAACACCACCGGGAGCAATGTCGGCAAGGATCAACTCCATGCGCTTGATCTCGGCGCGGAAGTCAGTCTCTTTCTTCTCCCATTCGGATGACACCTTGGCAAACTCTTCGAGGCTACGCTCTTTGGTCTCCTTCTCCTCCGCCCATGCCTTCTCAGTCACACGCAGCTGTTCTTGGAGCTCTCGGTACCCCTCAAGCAAGTGCAGGATGCAAGAATTATTCTCAATTGGCACCGGGTCGAGAACAGGCTTGGTCATCATGACATGGTGCAGCGTGTTGATCATTTGCTCCAGAGACGCTGCATGGCCAGTGTTGAGGTCCCGCTCCTGAAAGAAGACACCGTCGCCGGGTTCGATTGGCGAGAGTGAGAGTCGACGAGGGGATGTAGGCCGTCGTTCCGGCCGGATGCTAGGACACTTGTTTACACCAAGTTTCGCAGGTGCAATAACATCTAGACTGGCGATGCGGGGAATGGATGTTCGTTGGCGCGGCCTGTTGCCGATGGGGAGAGGGTGTGCCTGCTTGTCGTCGTCTGCAGGCCGCTTCAACCCCAGATCAGACCTCATGCGACGAGGGAAGGGGCGCAATCTCTCAGAATCCGCCATAGTTAGGAAGGCGTCGCCCGCGCTCGTCATTGTTAAACAGCCCGAGAGGTGTGCAGATGGCGAAGACTTGGGAAGCGATTAACTGTTGGCGGTTTAGCAGTTACACAGTCGAGAGAGTAAAAAGCTTGATATGGTTTCCCACGAACGCAAGCTGGTTTGGTTACCGCGAACAGATTTCAACGAAGGCCTGCTATGGTAAATGAAATGAAACCAACAGACTGGTGATGATGCAGGACGTGGCGCGATGGACGCTGCAAAGCGAAGGGATTTGGAAATAGAAACCTGAGAGGCAAGCTTTACTGCTTGTGCAGGCGGCTCGCTTTCCTCAACGTCGAGCGCGACGGGTGGAGCGAGAAGAGGCATCCTCAATTCCAAGACGTACGTTGGCAGGAGGAAGTACCGTCGCCAGCTGTGCCTGCCTCCTTTTGCCTGCTCGACTTCACTGCAGGAAGAAACCGCTACTGTCCAGACTTTCGAGACCACTTTCGTCTGAACATCCGGACCGCCTCGTTCAGCTGCACAGAAGAAATGTCATAGCCTAGGCAGCCAACGTGCCGCTACATTTTGAACCTCCTCTCGGCTTCTGACGATGGCCACGCCGAGCCTGCTTCATCTATGTGGTTGAAGACGAGCTCCCCGCCGCAACATACATCAAGGAAGAGATGCGAATCTAGTACCACCAACACGTGTTTTCTCCCGGACACGTCATTTCACCGCCAAATTGTTCACCGAGAAACATGCTTTGCTCAAATTACCGCGCCTATGGTATCTGTTTCCTGCGCATGTTTGCCGTCTTGTCCAAAGCGTTACGGGCACCTCTGGCTCCTGCGCCACAAACCGTGGCTCCCGGGTTGATCCAATCGTCTGTACACTAAGAGAACAAATCCTCGGCCTTCTGTCGTCTCTTCCCGCGCCCCTCTGGTCTATCTGCGAAGAGCTCCTTTCCGGTGTTTCCGCCGAATCGGCTGGGGAACAACTCTTTTACGTTGGAGTTGGCCGCGCCTTTGATGGCAAAGCCCGTGCCGGAGCCGAGCTGTCGATTGAAGAGATCGCCCTTCTCACGCCTCCCGTTGCCGACAGACATGTTGCTTTGCATGAGCCGCGTAGCCTCGTCCGCGCCATCCATCACTCGGTCCATGTGGGTTTTGCCGATCGAAGGTCCCTTGGCGGGGAATAGCTCCTTTGACTGGTTGTCTTGCGCCAGTCTGCCCCGGATGCCAGACGCTCTTTCTCTGTTGCTCACTGTGCCCGCACGACTGACTTCAGTGTCCATCGAGGCATCGCCATCGTCATCTCTCGTGGGCGATGCCGAGCGATTGCGCTGCCCTTTCACTGAGCCGCGACCAGGAAAGAGCTCCTTTTCTTGATTGCGTTGCGCGTACGACCTCTCACGTGGCCCTTCCCTTGATCTTGATCTTCTCCGGGAACGCGTTGACTTGGACTCGCGATCGGCCAGTGTCGCTTCGTCGTCATCGTACATTGCGGCGTCGAATTTCTCAACGCTTGGACTTCGATCACGTTGATGTCGTCGACCTCCGCGGCGGCGATCATCACCCTCGCGGTCGCGGTATCTGTTCCTTGTATCGCTCCTTCGTCTTCGTTCCTCAGGGTCGAACTCCGGGTGGAAAAGGTAAAAGCGACTACGTTGGGCTGCGCCCGGCGCCTTCTTGTCGGAGAGTACTGCGAATCGGATCTGTAAATTGGCCTCAGGATGCGATGCTATATTCTTGGCTGGAATCGTCTCTAGTAATGGAAGCTGAGTCGGATCGGCGATTTCCACTGCGCTAAGGGCCTTCAAAGCTTCTTGTGCTATGGCATCGGAGCCAAAGATGAGATTTGCGGAGTCGTCATCGATCCATTCGACCCTTTCAACAGGGCCATGGTGATCGCTGACGTATGTCTTGATGTTGTCCGTTGTCAGGTTATCCAACCCGCGGACGTGGACCTTGTTCCCGATCAAAGTTGCGCTTTCCGTGTCGAGGCCGACGGCGTTGGCTGGTTGGTTGGCAGAGGTTCCAGTATTCTGTGCAGCGGAATTTGATCAGCGAAATGCAGCCCAAGGTATCTGGCATTGGGGTCACCCACCGTGTTGTCGGCGATTGATGCGGTCGGAGGCGCGAAGCCCTCGGCCACGTCGTCCATATCGATATCCCAATCCATGACGGCTGGGTTAGTAGTTGTGAAAAATGGTGTGAAGATGGCGAAAGTGAGGTTGAGAGTTGTAGAGAAGCGAGCGTAAGCGCTTGTTTTGACAGTGGAGACAGGAGCGGTGAATGGGAGGCAGGAACAAGCGGGAGTCTTCTTTCCGCAACAAACGGCAGGGGGTCTGAGGAAAGACGAAGGCGATCCGAAGGCAATTGAGCATCGAAGTATGCCTCTTGGGTACGGCAAACGCGCCACGTCTGGGAATGATGTTGGAAGTTCCGCGGGATGAGCTAGTTGTGTGGAGAATGAGTACAGAGCATTGAGCACATTACTATGTATGTAGGTACTAGTAGTGCGGCTGACTGGTGGGGCCGGTGCCTGCCGATTAGATGCAAGCGCTCCCTGAGCCAATCGGTGACGGGATGCCCGGTGTCCCGGCGTTTGACGTCGCCGTAATTGCCGCGAAAGCCGGTGACTTAGGCTGGCACGGCAAGGTGCAGAAGGTGCCTGAGCCTGACTACCTACCACGGCATTTGTCCTACCATTTTGTTTCTTCTATGGCGATCTACTTCTTTAGCTTTCTTCAAGATTTGGTGTCTTTCATTTTCTATCTGCTTCCATTTCCTGACGAGCATCTACTTTATTCACTACAGACCAATGAAAAGGGTATAATTCTCCGACTTCTCTCAGAACCAGCAAGTCATCTATGTACCTGATGAACTCATACAGCCCTTCTTCATGCCTGTGTTGCGCACCCTCAACTACTCATAGAAAAACGCCAAATGATTCCATCCCCAAATCTCCGTCTATGATCTTGAGAATAAATATCCACTAATGTAAGTGGGCCACCTGTCATTACACCGTCTCTAATCGTCTATGCGAGTCCGCCAAAGTGGATAGACAGGCTGTCCGAGGCGCTTTAGTCCTCGGCATATCATTTTCGCCAGCAGGCGGAACAGCCGCCAGATTGCTGGTCTTTGATATTTCAGAGGCAGCTCTTTTGAGAGAAGGCAAGCATGGGACAATGTCACCTGCCGATGGGCGATCGTGTTCGTCTATGCTGTCGTCCTCCACTGGGTCGTTGGGATCAAGGTAATGGTCATAGACCCAGCAGTTCTCGAGGCCGTCAATGAATTTCGGCGAGTTTCGCAGAAAATGCCAAGACAACTTATCTTTGCGCATGGCGATGTATAACGACTCGATCTTCCCGCTGGGCTCGCACACGCCACAGTGCTTCCGCAGGAAGTCAACGTTGTATTCGCTGTCGACAAGATTGGGGTCCAGTGGTCGTAACATTGGGAGGCCCTGTAGCCGTTCTGCGTCGCAAAGCTTCGCCTGTAGAGGCATCCATGGCCTTCCTTTCAATAGACCCTCGAAGGCTCTCGCTACAGCGTTCGTGAAGGAGTCACTATCAGAACCCCCCACAACAACAGTACGATGCAGGCCACGCGAGAGGCATCGCTTGTAGGCATTGGTATCCCTTTCAAAGGGAAACGGCTGTGAGAAGGTTGGAAGCAGGGAAATGTGAACAGTCCATGCGCCGCAGTTATTTGGGTTACCGGCAAACCCAGTCGCGCCAGGGGAAGAGGAAGCACGAAATTCAGGCCGGGAGAGTTCCATCTCACTGACAGACTTTCCGTGAGCTGTGCGGATCGGCGTGGGTTGGCGTCGGGGTCGAGTATCTGGGTCACTGGGCCAAGTCGCTGCCTCAACCGTGGCCTCCAGCTTTCCTGCGTCTCGTGTGGCCAATAAGTCCTTGTCCGACTCCAACTGTTCCAATCTTTCTTCCATGCTGTCATCGGCGTCGAATAGTTCCATTTGTCGATTGCTGATGTTCCGCAGTTCGCAGTCAACATTCCCTAGTCGCTCTGTGTGGGAATGTATGCTTTGTTGCATTTGAGCAGCTTGCTGTTCTAACTGATCGACTGATTGCCAGACTCTAGTGATATTTCGGTAGGATCCCTTGATCTCTTGGCCGATCTCCTCACGGCTTTTCTCGACCAGCTCCTCCAGCTCGCTCACTCTAGTAACGATGTTTCCGAGGCCTCCCTGTCGTTCATGATCAAGATGTTCTTCCAGCGCCTGTAAACGCTGTCTGAGCAACGCGACCTCGTGCCTGGCCGAGGATGGCTCTGGTGCCTTGACATGGTAGCAGGCCATATGTCCGCAGTCGCAACTGGCACCGGGGGTTGACCGATTCAAAGAAAAGTGCGCGCAAGCACATCGCTGCCCTTTGATGCCCGGGACCAGAAGAATATAGCGACAGTGACCCTGTGGAAGGTTCGCCCCGTCAATACTACCGCTGGGGCCTTGCAACGGTGATGAGGAGGAGGTGGCCGACATCGAGGCAGGTAAGCTAGTGAGGAGGTTAGGGTGGCAGTGTCAGTGCTGATGATCGACCGCTGCTAAAACAGCAAGCCCAGAAGGCAGATCTGCTACCCGGGCGAGATGCTATCGCAGGTAGAAAACAACGTGGTCGAGTGAAGTCCGGACGTGAGATGGATGACAGACTGCGATCCTGTGGAGTGGACGGTCCATGGAACGGATCGAGAGAAGCGATGTGGGATTGCTGCAGCCGGCGATGAGGTGAGTGAGAGCGATGGCGGCGTTGAAGGAGACAAAGGCCTGGACGCGATGGATGTTACAGGTCAAAGTAGTAACTAGTTGGTCGAAGAGAAAGGCCTTGCTGCGGGCGGGTAGGGTAGGCGGGGGCGGCTCTTGAGATAACTACGGATACAAGAGAGATAATTGACCGGGAGGTTTGCCGGGACCGGGAAGCATGGGTCTGGGCGAAGTGGTTTCGGGAGTCTGGACTCAAATGAGAGAACTGACCGAGTGAGTATCCGTGGTGTGGTATCTCTACCTACCTGGAGACGTGGGATTCCTCAGTGAGGAATCTGAGGTGAGGCACGGGACGCTACGGCAAGGTATGGATGGCACGGGCGGAGAGCGGCTTCGGCTGGAGAGAGATAGAGACGTGCAAGGGCGATGGCGAGGATTTCGGGCTGATGATGAGGCGGATTGGGGAAGATGTTGGCCAAGTGGAAGCAAAGTGGCATTGGATAGAGATAAACAGGGCGTGTGTCGTGAGCGGAAAGTGGAAGAGGGGAAGACAGACGTCCAACAGGAGTTGGCTTGTCAGGTTTCGCAGCGTGAACCGGAGAGGGAGGGGGTGCGACAGGGTTCGTGTGGGATCAATGAGGCCGAGGATGAAGGGCCGGCAAAAACGAGAAATATCTGCGCGGACAGGGTACTTTGGATTCTTGAGTACTGCCTTTCGGGTGGTTGTGGTGGTGATGATGATACGGGGAAACGGGGGGCGGGAAAGTGGGCTCAGGCGGCAGGATTCCTTCCAAGTTGGATGATGGGCGGATGATGGGGATGGCGGATTGGATCCATGGATACCTCCGCCCATGAATACCTAGGTACCTTACCTGTGACCCACCTGAGTAAGGTACTGCCTTGGGCAAGGCATGGGGGCTCGCACTGTAGTGAAAGCTGGCCCCGCCCCCGGAAAACCTCCCTCCCTGGTGCACTGCAGTGTGCACACCTAATAGAGGTGGACCTGGATACTATGGTATGTAAGGTAGGTAGGTAAGTTAGGTAAGTTTGGTGTACCTTACACAGTGTGCATCATGATGGCGAGCAGCTTGGCATGTCGCACCGTTTTACATCACGGTTATCAATCAGCTCAACAAACCATTGCTGGGGCCTTCCCGCTGCAGGCCGCGCCAGCGCCCGCCAGGTGCTTCATGAGCAGCCTGTGACTGGCGCGTGTGGGGGGCAGCCAGATAAGACACCTCACGTACGGATGGATACCTTACCTCAGGAACCTGTTGCTTAGGTGTGCCTTCTTTAGCTGTACCTTAGCTAGAAGTTCAGTCGAACCAAGCACCTAAGCACTGTCGGGTTCGACTCGGGAGTGGCCAATGCTTCGCTCTTCTGGACGAGCCTTCACTTAGGAGAGTGCCGAGGTACAATATACAGCAAGGTACAGATATAGACCACTTAGGAGAGTGCGACCGCTAACTAGTTTCCTCGTGGAAAGTAAGGGGCCTCTTAGACAGCACCCCTCACCTGCTAGATAGCACCCCTAGGGGTGCTACTAAGCTATAGAGTAGTAGCTAAGACTTTAAATTAGTACTAAAACTAGAGATTTATATTTTAGTAGTGAATACTTAGTTAGTATACCTACTTAAATATTTATTTAGTACTTAGTAGGGTCTTTATTAGACTATTTAGTAGTATATAAATAGATTTAACTAATTAGAAGCTAAGAATTATAACTTTATATAACTTTCTGAGAAGAGATTTTTATTATAGTAATTAATATAATTTAATAAGATCTAGGTTTTTATATTTTTTTAAAAGGTTAATAAGAGAAAGAGAAACTAATAATTTAAGCCCTCTAATTAGCTTTAATACTTCTAAAGCTATTAATTTAATAACTTAATAATATTAATATTATTATAACTACTTCAGCTATTATTAAAGCCCTCTATTACTATAGTATATAAAGTTAATATTTAACCTTAATAAGTAGAGTAATTTATAAGTTCTATAACTTAAAGTTAGTATTTATTATTTATATATTAATAACTTTACTTTTAATCTTAGTTTTAAAAGCTCTTATAAGTAGTACTATAATAAGTTCCCTATTCCTAAATTTACTTATAGTTAATATATTATCTTAGTTTAAAATAGTAGTATCTACTTCTAAGTTACTTATAGCTATAATATAGGAAGTTATATTAATAGTATTATTAGCCTCTAATTTATTTAAAGAAATCTTAATAGTATAGTCTTCTAGTAAGATTACTTATTAATACTATAAAGCTTAAAGTATCTATATACTACCCTTAAAGGTATTAAAAGTTACTATAATATATATTAAGTTTAAGGTAATACTACTAATAGATTAGTTAGCTAATCTTAATATTAGTATAAGCTTAATAGCTTATTAACATATAAGTTTACTAATCTTATTAGTAATAAGTAATTAATAAGTAGAGTTAATACTATAGCTATATTAAGTTTATAGTTATAACGTAGCTCCCCTATAAAAAGACTATAGTAAAATTCACCCTATATACAGGTATAATTCTAGAAATACTATATAGGTACTTTAACCTATACCCTCTACTAGTTAAGGAAAATAGTATAGAAACCCTATATATTCCTACTAATAAGTAAACCCTCTAAATATTACTATATAAAGTTAAATATATACTCTAGCTAAATAGACTAGTAGAATAGTAATAGCGCTAGCTATATAGCGTAGGGCTAGTAGTAGTAGCGCTATATATAGTAGGGCTAATTATATTAGAGCTAAATAGGTTACTAAAGCTCTTATAGCCTAGCTAATAATAGCTTTACTAAACCTTCTAGTAAAGTACTACGAATACTACTATAAGAGAGATAACTCCTTAACTAAGGAGGTTATCCTAAGAGGTTTTTATAGCTAGAAGTATAAAAACTCTACTATAGGTAGGGCTTTATACCCTTCCCTCTTTCTCTTTTTTACCTTTAAACCTATATTAATAACCTATCCTTATAGCCTATAATAAATCCTTTATAATATCTATATTATATAAAGCATTTAAGTTTACTAAGTATAAGTTAAGTAGTACCTTTATCTCTATAAATAATATATAATATATCTAAAATAACTTTAACCTCAGTATACTTAATAAGAAGCTTCTATTTAAAGAATAATCTAAAGAAAACTAAAAGTATATTATTCTAATAGCTTTATTAATAAGCCTCTTAGAAGCCCCTATAAGTAGTAATATTATCCCTCTTACTAAGAAAGCTTTAGATAATATTAATATAGAGTTTAATTATATCCTTAGCTACTTTAATAAGTAGAACTTCTTCTCTAAAGTACTTAAAGGTACTAAAGAGGATATAGGCCTTATATAGAGTTTATTAGTAAGTATACTTTATACTGATTATATAGAGAGAGTATTACTAATAATAGTATAGCTAATAGTAGATAGCAAAGTAGTAATAGAGATAGTGTTTAATAGTAATATAGGTGATATATGAGAGAGAGGATGGGTTAATAGTTTAGTAGTTAGTAATTAAGTAATTAAGTAATTATAAACTATATTATTATTAAAGTGAAGTTAAAGATTATAAGGTTATCTAGTGTGACGTATATATATAAGTGCGGCTATAGTTAGGAGAGGGATATGGTTAGAGACTTAGGAGGTCTATAATTATATAACTGAAGGCTGTGTGTATTGTTAGGAGGCGTGGAGTTAGGAGGTCTGTCGCTCTAAGTAGGTAAAAATCACTATGAACAGCTAGAGGCTATTATAGCTATATTAATATAACTTTAACTTACTAGTAATAGTATTTTAAGGCTTACTATAAAGTTTAATTACTTAAAGTAGTAAGAGGAGTTATTTATTAATATTATATATAATAAAAGTATTAAGGTTAAGATCTCTATAATACTAATAATATAGATAAAACTAATATAATTAGTAGGAGTTTTCTCTATATATCTATTAATATAGCTAATACTAATAAAGTAGTTTATAAGTAGTCTAAATTAAATAAAGCTAAACTTAGTAATATACTACCTCTACTTCTAGTACTAATAGTAGTATTATACTACTATAGTTATTAAATTTAAAGCTTATTAAGAGCTATTTTTTTTATAAAATTATTAAAGCTATTAAGCTAATAAAATTAATAATTAGCTAGAAGACTACCCTCTTACTACTAGTAAATATAAGTACTTTATTATTAGATCTTAATTAATTATAAAGGATCTATTACTTCTACTTATACTAGAAGACTATAAGAATACTATAAACCTTATTAAGAGATAAGTTACCTTTAGAGATAGTACTTTAAATAATACTATTAATACTTTCTATAGTTAATAAAGTAGTATAGCTAAAGTGAGTAATTTAATTAGTTTAATAAGCTATAAGCTTCTTAACTTATAATATAACTTATATATTCTTAATATAAGCTACTAACTTCTCTAGCTAAACCTTAAGCCTCTTAAATATTACTAAAGTTTAGTTATACTCTACTTAGCCTCTAGCTGTTTATAGTAATTTTTACCTACTTAGAGCGATAAATCCTTCTAACTCTATACCTTTTAATAATATATATAGCTTTTAGTTATATAATTATAACTC